AGGTAGCATTGTACAGTTCGTCGACTTAATTTCGCAAGACAGACGCGATTGTGAAAAAAATAAATAAATTATGAAGAAATCATAATCCTTTGGGTAGTAGCTCCCACATTTCTTACAACTGTCTTATTCCTCACTTAATTTTGGACGGTTGAACATAACGACAAGGTCAATGAAGCTCGATAAATTGTTTTCTTGATCATCGATTAAGCAAACGAAGAATATTTTATGCCCCTTTAAGGTGTCGATGAAGTCTTTATTAAGCGATGCTATGGAAATATTTAAATTTATTTCGTGTATTATCTTTCTTTCCAATATCATCATCATTACTACTTAATACCTTATGAACTGATTCCTCTTTCTGGAATTTTTATTTCATTTTTTGCCACAGTATTTTTTACCTTTCTCATCCAATGTGGACAGAAACAGAAGTGTTTAGAATTGAATCTTAAGAAATTTATGTGTTTTTTTTATTGTCAAGAATTCCTTAACTTCTTCATTAACTTCGTAGATCTGTTCAATTTAATCATTAGATTAGCAATGCTGCAAATGATTACAAAACTTTTCACTTTGTATTGACACAAAAGGAACAATAGAATGATAATTAATTTCAGGCATGTTAGATAAAATGAGAATTTATATGCGAATGATGTGAGAATATCTATTGAAGGAAGTGAACCAGAAGAATTTTCAGTTCTTAAATGCTCATGAAATGTTAGGTTTTAAGCTCCTCGACCCTTTTTCTGTGTCTTAAAATTTTGAGACTTGTAAACATAATTTTGGAAAAGTTTTGGATTGTGCTCTTCATTGGAAAGTCCTTAATAAATGCGCACCAACCTGCTCAAAATTGGTGACAACATAACTTAAGATCAGGCTAATTTTCTGTAGAGCTAAATAAAGAAATTTCCGAATCTCGATGGGAATCTTAATTTGCATATAAAAATCTTCTCACAGGAAAAAAAAGTTTAAAACTTAATTTAATCCATTTGATACGAAAAAGGCAGAAAATGGTGTGATTAATGAAAAATGAATAACTTATGCATGCTACTTTTACATACTGTTATTTATTTCTCATCTTAATTTGAATATAAATATTTTCGGTAGACTGCGCAAGCTCTCCTTTAAATGCCATTCGTTTTACAAATAAATGTTGATTCTTTTTTTTGGATATACGGTAACAAAATATTTCTATATCTTTAAAAACAAAACAAAAACACAGAATGAGAATGAAATAAAAATTGTCACGCAATCTCATTAAAAAGGCAGATGATAGTGTAGCCAATGATGATAATTAAGTTCATGCTTTGCCTGCTTCACTGATGACGCATCGACGAAAAGTGAAATGATATCAACATGTCACGTCATCTCGCACGAAATCTGTAATTATGTTGTTGTTGTTGTTGTTGCTGTAGTTGTTTATATTTCTTTCTTTTTTCTGTTGTTTTCGTTGACATGAATTTACTGATCTTCCTTAAATATGTTTTGTATGGTTGTAAGTACATAAATGGACAGATAAAGAATTCCTTAAAATGTGATACATTTTAAGTCACACAATGATGAAAATTGCAGTAAATAAATTGTACGGTTTATGATTGCAAGGGTTGAGAAATTCTTTACACTCAAGAATGGAGATTGTAACATTGTATGAGACTTCAAACTTATCATTTTACAAGATTAATATTTCAAAAGATTGAGATGTTTCAACTATGGAATTGACACTTTAAAAGGCAAATGAAAAGCGAATAAATTGAATTCTTTAAAAAAACGCGAAAGGAAGCTCGAGATGGAGAAAAGAGAATAAAAGTTTCTATAGAAAATTATTCAAACGTCACAAATTAAATCCCAATATCACACTGTGAAATTATATTTCATTAAATAACTTTTTGATTCGTTCTTTTGGGCAACAGTCAAAAAACTTCATGTTTATTTATTTATAATATTTCTTTCTTTATCTACATTAAATGCGGTATTACTTCTGTTCAGCTTTTAATATCATTGTTCTTGAAGGGTTATGTAATGAAATATTTTGGTATTCTCAAGGAATGGAAACTTTTTTAAAGTTTTGATATTTATGGTATTAACAATGAACCTTGTTCTAACTTTTGAGATTTAAACGAAAACAATTTGTGAGTTCAGACCCTTCTTAGGAAGACCCAAGGGCTGGACTTTTACTTTTAAAAAAACCTGGCCACAACCAAGATCACATCATATGATCAGTTTTTTGACATTTTATTTCTGAATTTATTCATTTCAGATCCATCCTCTGATGTTACAATCCCTTGCAACCGAAATTTGTTATGCTATTATAAACTTATTTAATTCTTCTTCTCACAATTCAATGATTCCATAAAGGAGGAAAGAAAGAGAAAGATAAATATGCGAAAGAGAGTAAGAATGAAAAATTAACATAAAGCCCAATGTGAAACAACGAATGATATGATAAAGAAGCATGTCAAACTAAAAGGAATTTCTCGGTCGAAATGTGATGTCTAAAGAAGAGATGAATTAAATCGTACATAATTTATTTTGACACTTTTCGATTTGAGCTGTTCATATGATGAATGTAAGATTCACACAAGCTTAGTTGGCAAAAGGCTTAAAAAGTTTATTTGATTTTATTAAGAACCGTCGGAAAAGTTTACAAATTACTGCGAATTATTCTAATTTTCAATAGAAATATTAATGTCTTCAATTGAAAAATCTGACTTGCTTAAGATTAAATAGTGAGCAGTGCTCCTCAAAGCATTTTGAAGAGATGCTTAGTATAAGAATAACGCTCTGAAAAAACAAAAACTCAATGACAAAAACGGCAATATGAAAATAATCAGCATGTGAAACAAGTAGTAAATAAATTACAGGTTAATACAAATAAGCAACAGTAAGCAGGTTGAATATATTCATCTCACTCTTACTGCCATAAGTAATTTTAATTTATTTATGTATATGTTAAGTATTGATTTTCATTTTATTGCAATTTAATTTTTGGTATTTTTTATGTTGTGGTTTTAAATTGCGTCCATAACTTTTTTGTATGCATTGATCACAGATCTTTGAAATCTTCAAAAAATAATGCAAAATCTACACATCTGGGTTGGTTAATTATTCTAGTCAAATGAATAAATTTATGTAAATCAAGATGAAAGAAGAGGATATAATTTTAACATATTGAAGACATGAAAGATATTCCTCCATTGTTTTACAGCATAATTTGATTGAAACACGAGTGATAGCAGTTCATGGTGAGTTGTAACATGAAATGATGGATTATTTTCTTTTCAGTCGGTGGACGTCGAAAAAAAAAACAATCTCACCGACTTTATTATGTTAGCCATATTTTATGCCATCAACATTAACATAATAAAATAATAATATAAGGAATATAATTTTCTTACTCTCGAGTAATTATGAAACTGCCGTTCATTAACAATTTATATGCAAATTTTGTCCGCTTTTATGTCAGTGCGATAATCTAATTTTCCGAATTTGAGGCCACAATGTAGTCAGAAGTAAATTGATGGGCGAGAAGGAAATACAAGCAGAAAATGAAAAAATATTCACGAAATTACAATTAACCATCAAATGGTGGGTAAATGCTTTCACCTCCAATGTACAAAAAAAAAGATTTTCTTTTGCTTCCATTTCATGACGACTATAATACAGCATAAAATTCAATGCTACTATGAATTCAGCGCTAAGTTCAGCAACAAAAAAAAAGAGGCAAATTAAATGAATTGAAAATTGAGGTAACAATGGCGAATAAATTTACAAAGCTCTGTGAATAAGCGTAACATAGTGAACATAATAATAATAACGGCAACGAATTGTTAACGCATTAGCATAAAAACAATGCCTAAAATGTTGAGGGAATTTCTTCTTGCTATGGCAATAGAGAGCTAAATAGCTAATTCTCATGCAAACCAATCCCATCGTAACTTTTCTTTCGCTTTAATTACATTTTCCGTTTCAATTAGTTTCAAAATTGTTTTTTTCTTTCATTTTAATCTTTGCCACATCTTGCTTCTTACCATTTTTCATTTGGGGCATCCATGTTGCTTACTGTTTCTAATTTTAGTGACTAGTTTTTCGAAATATCCTTTGCTCATATTAAGACATGAGAAAATTTCTTAAAAAATCATTAAAAACTCACATAATCAGCATCAAAATGATATTTTCCAGTTGCTAATTTGAGAATTATCATTTTATGGTATTTAATAAGGAGATGATTGTCTTTGATAAATTGATAATCATTAAAATTAATATACTCTGTTGTATTTGCTAATAAAATAATAATTAAGAAATCATAAACTTGAATTAATGACCGGCAATTGATCAAAGCTTCAGTCACTAGACACAAATCAATAAATTATGAAAACTAGCTTAGTGCAAATTAGTTTTTATACCATTCCATAAATTTGGAAAGTTCTTACAACAGCTTATAGGAAAGAAAAAGGCTGAAAATTTATTCATAAATAAATAAAATTATTCAAATGTGATTATCAAGTCTTGAGCAGGCAGAGGAATTTAAATGAGAAGCTGAAAGAACATTTTGCCGCATAAATTTCAAGTCAATATTAGAAATGTCTTCATTATTCGATGTGGACTTTCCTTCTTCTTAATTTTATTGTTTTTCGCTGTTGAACATTAGATGATGCTGTGAGATGAACGTGAAAATATTTGGAAACAGCAGAAATAAATTCAGTTTAAGTTTGATTTTTACACTTCTGAAGTGGCTTTTTAAAACACGTTTATTCATTTATGAACTAAAATTATTAGTCAGAGCTTCTTCTCTTCTCAAATCTATGATTTGAGGATAATATCGAATATCAAAAAGTATGACAGAAATGACAGAAGCAGTAAGTCAATCGAATCATTTTTTTTTATTTTATTAAAATTATCTTAAATGCGTATCAGATATCATAAAAGAAATAACAATAGAAACACAAAGGGAAGGAGGAAGAATAAGAAATAACGATAATCACATCATAACATATCAATGGTCATTATTAGTAAACTAGAATTGTTGAATCATTCTTATGGACTGTAATGACAGGTGGTTTCGGTTGATGTTGAAGCAAATAATTGCGATAATAAACCAATCCAATATTTATGAGATGGCAAAATATAGACAGAATGAGAATCCAAAATGAAAAACCAAATTGTGCGAGTCCATCGGATGTAAAACGAGATAATGTGCGAAGTGTATCAGTAATCGCAATATTTTTGCTAATAAAAATCCCAAAGAGCGATGAATAAATGATCATTGTGATTGAGCACATTAAAGCTGCGATTCCATTCCACACATAAAGTCCATGTGTGCTAGACAGATATGAAATCGGATTACAGAGAATATTGAGCATCGAGAAAAATGCTGATATCAATGTAAATAGGCTGCTTAAAGCCAAAAATATGACAGTCGTTAGCCACAGGCCAGCGCTTAAAAATTCATCTTCAAATGTTGCCGCTTCACTCATTTCGTCATAGTTTATTTTCATCGTCATCGCCGTCATATTCACCTGTTCATTAAAATTTCTTGCCGTTTGTTTCGTTCTCGATGCAGGGCATATAGCCAAGTTTTCACCCTTTAACAATTGATCAAACTCATTGCTTCTCCTATCTGATGTTTGTTGACAACTATAAAAGCACTTGTTTATGTCATATCTGCATATTACTGCAATTAATTAACACAATTAGTCAAACATTAATGCTACAGAATTAAATAAGTCTGGTATTACTTGTAAGATCAATAAATTTTGTTGTTTGATAAATACTTTGAGTCAATTTTCCATCAAATAATCCATAATGCATGTATGAAATTCCAATATCTTCATTTGATTCATATTTCATATCCGAGACGACCTTGAAGGAGAAATTCACAATAATATTAATGAATGTTTATACTCGACATCAATGTATTAGTACCCAATGGTCTGTAGAAAATGACACAATTATAGCAACTAGTGATAAGGCTGAAAATAATTCTGTCACGAGTAAAATTACCCATTTACTCTTTGCCATTTCACTTAATTTTTATGTCCACTAATATGATCACCTAATTGCTTTAATCTTTTCTAAAATACTGAATTTATGTGTGCATCATAATTTATTTTTTCATTCTAGTTTTCTCCTCGCTGCACACGACAGAAATCTTTCTCGATGCACGAACACTTTGTGACTAGTTGAGAAAATAAATATCTGTAATTTTTTACCGGTTTTTGTTATCTTATCTTTCGACTGCACTATCGATTGAATAAGGCAATTGATAATGACAATCGTAGTAATAATGACTACAATAGCTTACTTTCTCTATTTCACCAGAGAAAGAGTCGTTGTTTTGATAAGAAATGGAACTCCCCGAAAATATTATTTTGAAAAATCTTTAAGCAGGAAGTACAAATTGATTAATGGAAGTGTGATAAGAAATAAATTGTGCATCATTAGATTGATGTTTGATTAATAGCATGTGCGATATAGATCAATGAAAAATATTGAACATAATTCGTAAAATGCTGCTGTCTCTAGTACCTATCACAATTTTTAATAAATGTCATAGCTGTAGGCTCAACATAAATCTAGAACCTTACTGAATTTCCATGCAACATAAATTGCTCATGTATATGCTGAATCGAGTGATGCTTGCTTCTGATTTTCTCACGGATATCTTCAATAAACGTGCAGTTAAATAATATCAGGATTATTTCATGTCAGAATGTTTGGGAATGAAAAATTACATCGAAAGGTTATTGAACATGATGAGTCTTTACGCAAAAGAACGAAATGCTTTAAAGTAGCTACAAAAGTCAGAATATTTTGTACAATTATCAGCACGCAATGATAATGACTCACTGTAGTTCCTCGAGTTGCAAATTATGCATTCCAAAGCAATTGCTTCAACATTTTAAACTCTTAAATTTAACAATTAGAATCGATTTCCATCAAAACTGCTTTAAACACTTTTGTGAAACTTTTTTATCGTTTTAAAAGAATTTAAACTAGCTTTTAAAAACGTTTGTTCCAAGTAAGTCCTATAACAAAATGAGCAATAAGTTTTTTTTTTTAAGTTTAAATTTATTGAAAGTTCCTATAATTTTATTAAGGTAAAAAGTATTAGGGTCATCATTTAATGACATACAGAATTCAATAAGGTAGCATGAGGATCGTATGAATAAATGAGGCTTTTCAAAGTTGTTAAAACAAATAATTTTTGTATGAAATTTTTATGAAAGGAAGAAAGATAATCTTAAAATCCCATTCATAAAGGTACATTACTTGTGATTAACCCCATTGAAACATTTATCGTACCGCAGGTGAATTGATAATTTTTTTTTATTGGAGTTTGTTTAAACAAGTGATTCTTAACGATGTTCATTTGTATTAATTTATTTAGCACCATCTATCATCCTCTAGACATTTAGCCTTGAACCAATCCAAAGAAATTTGATTTTTTGTAGTAATTGATTCATAAAATTTAGTATCATTATAATATTCCTTAGCTGGAAATAGTCTTCGGAAGTTTCCTTCATACAAATGTTCACGGAATGCTTCGCGCATTTGATAACGATCATTTTCATTTACACATGGCATGCATAATCTGCAGTTTTTATGTTCACAACTTCGATGGCATTCATATTTAAGACAAGACTTAATGTCGACTGCTATATTTTTCCTATTTGCTATCATTACATCCAAATCATTGAATCTAGAATGGAATTAAACTAGAATTGATATCTTGTAAATTAAGTATTAAGTACCTGGACATGAATTCAAAGTACGAACCCCCACCAACCATTTTTACTGTATTGTAGATTAGTTGCTCATAAATGATTGCATTTATTTCGTATCTTTTATGAGCTGGTGTTAAATTTGGACTCATGTTAACTTCCATCACGTAAGGTGTTAAATTTTCATCAAAAATAAAATCAAATCGCACTAATTCGAAGAAGTGATGAGTTGAGTAATTCATTGCTTTTGCCTGTAAAATTATAAGTTTTTCACAAATCATTTGAATTTGAACGATAGTAATAATGACGTACCTTTTTGATAATTCTATATTCTGTGTTAAGAGATATTTTAACAATTGCATCATCAATTTTCTTCCACAGTTCCTTTACATCAAAACCTTTTTTACTAATGTAGTTTTCAAAAATGCTCTTGAATGGATGCTTGAACATTTCGAAACTTTTTTCAAAAGTTGGCATGTCATATGGTGGATGACATCCCTGTCTAATATAAGAATAATTTTTTAAAATTGACTTACAGATGATTAGAAAGTTATTAGCTTACCTCACAACATATTTATCTCGATTTTCAGGATCAAATGGATAGTATTTCTCTCTACAAAATCTAAACAGCACATCAGCATCAAATCGATAAACTCGAACAGGATTAAAAGATGTTATGAGTACAAAAATACCAAAATCAAAAGCATGGCCATCAATTAAGAAAGGTTTGTCCATAAATTGTTGGTAAAATACATCAGAGTTATCATAAATAACATCCTTAGCTTCAATTAAGTAAACACCACGATTGTACACATTTTTTTCTACCAATTTAGCTTTTGGATTATCAGTTAAGAACTTTTGGAACTCTTTCTTGTCTTGTGGAAGTACAAATGAAGGTAGAATATACTTCAGATGTGCATTTATTTCATTCATATAGCTTTTACTAGCTAAAGCACTGATACCCGGAAAATGATTAACTTTTTGTTCTTGTCTCAAAGGATTGTTGCTGATGTTGAAAAAATGATTATCACTTTTTTCTTCGTAATGAGAAAATGGACTCTCGATACTCCACAAAAAATCCCAATCCTCATTGTGAGACACATTTGCAAATTCATATTGCATGCTGTTAAAAACTCTATCCATCGTACGAAGATGACCTAAGGTATAAAAATTAAATTTACAAAGTTTCACGTTTTACTCCAATTTTACCTCCTTGATGCCAAACTTCTAGTACAACATTCCAGTATTTTAAAGTATTGACTTTTTTAATTTTAACGATTTTAACTATGCTTTCACTTTCTACAACATTTTGTGGTTCATTATTTCCAGGATTGAAAATTATTGCATTTAAGATTGCTAATAGGACTACGATAATACTAGCTAAAATGATTATAACATAATTGCTACTTGAAAATGATTTTTTATTGCCACGTTTATTATTTTTGTTCGAAATCATCGCTCTGATCCTGACTGAACGGCAGTCAAATTCAAATTAATTTTCTTATTTTTCAGAATATTTTATCTTTGTTGAGGAATTCACAAAACGTTTTTTTTTCTCTCTCATCTGAATGAAATTGAGCAGCTGAATATTGGTTAAATAGATCAATAAAACCATCTGGGCTGTTAATGAAATATTGAGCTTTTAAGTTTTGTGGAATGAAACTTGTCAAAATATCCAAATTTTAATAAAATCTCAATGATTCAAATTCAGCTGCAAATAAGGAACAACGGAACATTAAAATCTGCAATATTATGTAGTCTTTATTGGCTCAACCAAACAATCTATGATCCATTTATTTAGTAACATTCGTTAAACATATAATTGGTAATGACTGTTTAGCACCATTTTTCGTTCTCAAAGCATTTAGCTTTATACCAATCTACAGAGAATTGATTGTTTTCAAACAATGAACCATAAAGTTCTTTATATTTATAAGAGTCTTTTGCTGGAAAGAGTCTGACAAAGTTTCCTTCATAAGAATGCTCTCTGAATGCTTCGCGCATCTGATAACGTTTTTCTGCACTGACACACGGTGAGCATAATTTACAGCTTGTATGTGCACAACTTCTATGACATTCATGCTTTAGACAAGATTCAATATCAACGGCCAAATTCTTTCTATTTGCAATCATAATATCCGAATCATTAAATCTGTGTATGAAAATTTACTGGAATTGATATCTTGAACATTATTAATTAAAGATTATTACTTACCTAGACATAAACTCAAAGTGTGATCCTCCACCGATCATATGAACTGTATTGTAGATTAATTGCTCATAAATGATTGCATTTTCTTCATAAACTTCTGCAGCAGGTGTTAAATTTGGACTCATGTTCACTTCCATTACATAAGGTTCTAATTTTTCATCGAAAATAATGTCAAATCGCACCAATTCAAAGAAGTGATGAGTTGAGTAATTGAACTCCTGGCTCTGTAAAGTAACACATAAAATATTTTGGAATGGTAAGAATTTAATTAGTGATTACTCTTTCTATAACATTTGATTCTGTATTTATGACTATTTTTACGATCGCATCATCAATTTTACTCCATAGCAAGTTCACATCAAAACCTTTCTCGTCGATGTAGTTCTCGAATATTTTCTTGCTTGGGTACCGATATCTTTGATAGACTTTTTCAAATGTTGGCATTTTGTAGGGTGGAAGACATCCTGATCTAAAATGAAATTTAACATTAAAAGCGTGGAGATTTAAAAAAAAAATGGAAATACTTACTGCACAACATATTTGTCACGATTATTTGGATCAAATGGATGATACTTCTCCTTGCAAAATCTAAAGAGAACATCAGCATCGAATCGGTAGATTCTTAAAGGATTAAAAGAAGTGATAAGAACAAAAATACCAAAATCAAATGCATGACCATCAATTAAGAAGGGCTTGTCCATAAACTGTTGATAAAAGATTTCAGAATCTTTGTGGTCTCTTTGCAGCACATCTTTTGTTGTAACGATACGAACACCTCTGTTATAAATATTCTTTTCAACGAATTTAGCTTTAGGATTATTTGCTAAGAATTTTTGAAACTTTGTTTTATCGCTAGGGAACTCAAATGAAGGCAGAATATACTTTAAATGTGCATTCATTTGGTTCATATAACTTTTGCCAACCAACACTCCAATTCCAGGAAAATGATTAACTTTCTGTTCTATTCTAAGAGGTTTTTCATTAATGTTCATAAAAAGAGGATTAGTTTTGAATTCAGGAACATAGTATGGATTCTCAATTGCCCACAATATATCCCAATCATCTCCAAGCGATGCATTCACAAATTTGTACTGTAAACTTTCAAAAACCCTATTCATTGTTCGGAAGTGACCTAAAAGGTAATTATTTTAAGAAATCTTTAAAACTGTGATTTTTTAATCCTGTTACCAGCTTTATTCCAGACTTCTAAAATTACACTCCAATATCTTAATCTCTTGACTTCTTCCTTTTTAATCAGTTCTTCTTTCTTTAAAACTTCATTTTGGACATTATCGCCTGGATTAATTATGTATGCACTGAGCACAGCTAGTAAAATAACGATTATGCTAGCTAGAATTATTATGATGTAATTATTTAAGTTGGAACTATCGCTGCCACGTTTATCATTTTTCTTCGGCATCTTGAATGATACTGTACAGTTGTTTAATAAAAATTAAATAAAACACTGTATTGAGCAAATGACTTCACTCTGAAGGCATGTCAATCCAATTCATCATCTGGTTTTCAATGTCGTTAATAATTTAAACAAAATTGATCCTCATAGTTTTAAAGTTTGGTTTCATTTGCACACATGTTTGTCTTAAATGAAACTTACTACACGTTTTAGGTTTGGAAAAAGACAGTGAGTTATTAGTAACATCATTATACCTCACAAGTCACAGATCATAATGTATGACAAGTATAGAGTTATTTCATTTTATGCCAACCTTAATCAAAACCTATTTAAAAGTTCACTGCCCTTGATTTTCCAGACCAAAACAACCAAAGTTCAATTTTTGAATAGTTTTGATCCTTTAAATCCAAATTTAGGAGCATAAACAGCGAACAAGAGAATCATCAAAATCAACCAAAAATGCACGACGAAAGAATCCGTAAGTTAAACTACTAGTTAAATTATCATTCAATGCTTAATATTAGATATTTGTAGTTAAAACAACTAATCTAGCTTACCATTTTTTAAGAATTTAATTCATGTCATAATTTTTCTTAAATTTTTACACTAGTTGATAATGAAGAACTAATAAAGGAACAAGATCAAGGTTAGTCTTCTTTTGAATAGCTCATAAACATTAAAATGTATTCCAGCTTCAAAATTTAAAGACATTATTTTATGCCATTTGCTTAATTTAGAATTTCAAAGACGCTTGAGGGAAATGATATTACAAGAGCCGCTTCCAGTTGAAATACTAGAACCTTTATTTCAGCAAAACAATCAATTAATGCCAGATGATATACTAGAACCTTTATTTCGACAAGATAATCAAGCATTGTTTGAGGAACCAGAATTAGAACTAGATTTTGAAGAAAGTGACCTGGAAGTATCTGATGATGTTGAATCTGATAACGAAGTTATAATAGAAGATGAATATTTCATTGAAAACAACATTTCCCGTGAAAGGCTTCAAGAACTACTAGCTAGAGAGCAGGTAATTAAATAGTAATAAATAGTCATTGAATAAATCAACTCTAATTTTGTCTTACAGGATGAACTTACTATTCAAGAATTGCACGAAATGCTAGGTAAATAACGATCTTTTATAATTTAAATCAAGTTACAAGGTTGTTCCTACGCAGTGTTTAAAGTACCGGCGAGACATGTCTTCTGTAAAGATTTTAATTTTCAACTTATTGAAAAGAATGATAGGTAATCCTTTATGCAACATCCAGTATACCATAACAGTTTTGTATGAATATTTTATGACGGAGGAAGAGGGACCAAATATCTTAGATGCTCGATAGACTTCATGTCTCGTTTGTGCTTATTGCACAATCCTACGTCAAATTTTAATAAACAAAAAATCGTGGAAAATTTAAAATGTTGTTAAAATTGTTTAATTCTAGAATTAATCAACCAATTACGTCTCTAATTAGTCAGCGATGTTATGCAAAGGCGTCTGTAGCAGGTGGAGGTAAGTGACATATAATTAAAAGTGAAATAATTTCTTAATTAATATTTTTTAAAAAAATATAATCGACAGCAAAAGGTTTGGGAAAGAAACTTGGTGGAAAAGTCGGTGGAGCTGTTGTTGAGAAGAAAGTAATGCCTGTTGTGACAGATCCTAAAAGATTAGTCAATTATTGTTGCGGAAGTAATTATTTTGTAGAAGGAGAAGATGTTAAAGTGAGTTTTTCATTTATATCCAAAAAAATTAACTTTACTAATTCAGCACTTTCATAGATTAAGCCTGATAATGAATATCCAGATTGGTTGTGGACATTACATACAGGCAAACCAAAAACCCTTGATGAATTAGACCCAAATACAAAGCAGTATTGGAGGAAGTTAAGAAGTGATGGACTTAAACGAAATCTTTTGATGCTGAAACTTAAGAAATTTTAATTCGTTTTTTGAAAATAATAAAGTAGCTAATAAAGTAACAGATAGGACATTTATAATGTATCATACATAAAAATTTTGTATTTTATTTATTTAATTTGGTTTCAAATTTTGGATCCTTAAAACAACGATCTTGACAGAAATATGTATCGGAACAGCCACATTCGGTTATTTAAAATATGCATGTCTATATCTTCATATCAAAAATGAACTAATTGAGATTTATAATTATGTAAATTATAAGTTAAGTTATGTTTGTAAAATATCTTTCAATTTCATCATATCATTCTATTCTTATATTCCCTCTTCTACGGCACTTTTTCAATTCTTTACCAACTAATCTAAATAGAAGAACCATAGCTAAAATGTTTGATGTGATAAGCATGTAAAAAACATTTTGCCAGCCTCCTGTTTGTACTAATCCAGCGATTAATGGCCCAACAGCTGCTCCTATAGATCCAGTGCCATCAATAATACTTGTTACAGTGGCAAGAGCTTTAGCATTTCCTTCTAATGATTTATGCTGTCCAAGTTCAGCTGATACCGAAGTTGTAATTAAAGCATAAGGTCCGTTCACAAAAAGTCCAACAACAAATAAAAGTCCAACGTTCGCAATCCATGCTAAATTTCCATAAGTCTCATAAATGAATAAAAGTGGTGCAGACACAAACAGCATGCTAACGCACGTAGAAGCAGGCATTGAAGATACATCTGATACGACTCCAGCCAATATCGCACCAACAATTCCTCCAATATCAAAAACCATCGAAAGCTCTGCACTGTGCTCAGATGACAAAGGAGCTGAAAAAGGGAAAATTGTTTGTGTTTGAAAACCTTACAAATTACTATTAAAAGCTTTTTAGAACCCTACAAATGTTTATGATAAATTTTTGCTATTGTAAGGTTTTGATGGAAAAGAACTTACTGGTATTTTTAATGTACAATGGTAGCCAGAAAAGGAATGTGTAGTTGACTAATTTGGAAAAGAATAAGCACAACGAGAATTCCATTACACCGGGAATTTTCACGGCTCCCATAAAACCAATAGGCTCATCATGATGTGAGTTTTGGTGATGACCACTCAATATTGGAGTTCGTTCATTATACCGAGTTTCCTGCTAAATAGTAAGAGATATGAATAAATTAAGCAATAAGTTGGCAACTACAATAAAATTGTCGTCACGACCTAATTTTTCATGCATAAAAATCTACTTTGAAGTTAGTATTAAAATTTTGTGTCGAAACTTACTGAATTAACACTTCCACGCAAAGACCTTAATGAAGGATTACTTTCCTAATAATTTGATATAATTTTGATTAAGTCATACACATTTTTGAAGTCAAAAGGAACGCAGCATGCACAAAAAAAGAGAATTATCAATTATAAGTTAACTTACATGATCACCACTCTCTGAGCGTGCAAGGACATCTGATGCCACGTCTTCGTCTTCAATGTCTGAGTCATCAATTCGTCGATATGCTGTTTCAGGGTTATTTGACGTAACTTCATGCTGCATACCAACAAGCTCAGGTGAATCAATGAGGAACATAAAGTTAATGAATCCCATAATGCCCATAATAAATCCAGGAACAATAAATGACATGCTCCAATCACTATCTACATAATGTGCTGCTATATAAGTTCCCAGCATATTTCCAATTGATGTGTGCGAATTCCAGATGCCAAAAATTAAGCCTCGCTTTGCTTTACCACACCAACGACTAACTATTGTGACTACACCTGGCCATCCACTTGTTTGAAAAATGCCAGCAAGAGCTTGAATAATCATAAAATATGTCAATGAATGAATATCCTTCACTTTTCCGTATCCAAATGAATAACAAAAAAATCCAGAAAACAGCATTCCAAGGGATAAAAAGTATCTTAGTGATACACGTTCAGCTATGAATCCAGAAAAAAACATTGCAATCGCATAGCAAATAAGAAAGCTTGAATCCATGAGACCAAGCAAGGCAGTAGAATCTGGTCCATCGAATGGTGGATAGTTGCAAGAATTATCGTCAGCTCCGAAATGTAAAGTCTCAGTTACTGATCCTTGTGGATCAGAGCAGTTCCTATGTAATACTGATTTAACAACAGCAAGTGGCTTTCTTGTCATATGGTAACATACATAGCTCAAATATGTAAGCATTAACACAGACAGCTTGTATCTATAAGAATGTATAAAAAAAATATAATTGATGATGAGTCATAAAGTTAATATATACACAAAGACGATAAAAATTGATGATGGTACTGCTTTATACTTACAATAAAAATCTATTAAAATGTATTGAAGGACATAGTCTGGAAGTAACATTCGTGAGACATGTAATTCCAAACGGTGGACTGTTGATGCTCATTTTCCTTTTGCGAATTAATCTTGGCATTAAACTTAAACCCTTAGTTTACTACAGATAAGCAGTCGAACTCTGCCTATGCCTGTATGCTTGATATTGTTGACGTATGACAAATTGAATAACAAAGGAAGGAAGAAGTATATTTTGTAACTAAACTAGCTTTCTTCTGTCTACACTGTATATATCACTCGAACGGCGAAATGAGATCCATGTTTGCTTAATATTCTAGATCTCACTCTTAATTGCAATGCCTTACTAATTCCACTTTAATTATTTGTTTTAATGTTTTTGATTCAAAACTAGGATCTTCGATCTGAATAATGACAGCTTGAACGAAAATCGTACCTATTCGTTCCTCTCGGTATTTTTGAATTTTAAATGACGGTTTTTCTGATTTTTCTTTTCATTTTAATTGCACTTTATTGCATTTATTGACGACATACTGTTCGGTAATAATTCACATTTTACACTTTTGTATTTGTACACATATGAATTAGTATTATGTAGGATCAAACTGCTAATCTTCAAATCTAGGTTTCAAATTTACTAAGGCTCTCGTTTCGATCTTCTGTAGGCGTGACGTGATACTATTCAGGTCCGTTAACAATATTCCATTCGTGGGTAATCTTGTAGCTCTCGTTCCTATTTCTCCCGCTACACTTCAAGTTCCTGAGCCGTTCCTTAATCCAACGTTTCCCAAATGCCCAATTATGGCTTGATCTCCTACATTAAGCAGTCGAAGTATCTAAACTTCCGAAAAAGAACAAATTTGAGCCAAGCACCTTACCTATTCGACCAGCAAGGCACTTAACCGCTTAATTCAAAAATATTTTTAAGTGACACCTTCCTGGAAAATTAAATGCTTAAAAGAAAATAGGTGGAAATGCACGTCTGACTTTTCTCAATTGTATTTTTTTTTTATTTTTTCATCATAGTTTTTTCAAATCACAGTCTTTATGTGTTTTACAAAGAAAATCTTGAAGATTTTGTTTGAAAATTTACTTTTTAAACTTAATCTGACAAGTTTTTGATTTTTTAATTTTCATGATTTTCATCCTTTCTGAATTTAATTTATAATTCTCTTTCTCATTAACTTGTATGTTGCAAAAGAAATGTGTAACTTATGCACAGAATAAATTTTTTAATGTTCTTTCCATTAATTGATTAATTAGCTTATTTTTTTTTTGTTTATTCTATTTATGATTTTTCATTACCTATTTTTTATGTGTCAGTTTGAAGAGATTTATTCTTTATTAATGTTTGGGATCGTTCACTTATGACGTCCGAAGTTAACGGTCAAATTTCCAGGAATTTCTATTGTTCTTTTCTTGCTGACCCCCCCCCCCCCCCCCCCAGAAGTCATAAGTGAACGACCCCTTTAGTATGTACTTGATAATGTGGACTTTCCAAGAAATTGGCAAAAACAGTTTTATGGGTCATCAGAAAGCTTTCAAACCAAGAAAGGATTAAATTTCGATAAGTTTATGAGGAAGTTTCTTATCTGTTTTTCCTAAAATATTCTCTTCCTTGCTTTTTGTGCACATTCAGAACTTCCTTCGCAATTTTCCCAAAAAGACAAAAAGTTGTGTATGGGGATCTGGCAAACATGTTTTGACTGTTAAATTTGTGTTCTTATTTACATTTTCAATTCTGTGTTGGGAAAATTCACTGCCATGAGCCATGTCTATACTAAAGTTTTAGTTTTGATCTCATCGAGAAGTAAATTTTTATATTAAACATGAAGTGAGTTGAATAAAGATCATCGTCAGCTATCATCCTCACCATAATTTTATATATTTTGGAATGTTACACACGTAAAAATTTCCTTCCATTCTTATTAAATGTTTTGCATTGATTTACACATTAAAATCTTCATGAAATTTTCTTATCTTTTTAACTATGAAATAAATCTTTGTTTTTTCAGTTTTTAATTAATTTATTCTGTTCGAAAAACATCGTTCTTTTAAAATGTCTATCTACATGCAAAGAAAAATAATTTGTGAAATCCACTTAGTAATTATGTTCAATCTTTGCATCAGCAGTTGTTGGCTTTAAATTACAGATCTACACAAATTGAAATCCCTATTTTTCTGCTAAGTTTAAATTAATAGTTTTTGGGGGCTGTTCATTAATTACGTTACTCAAACTTTACTTCTTTTTATACCCCCCCCCCCCTGTCAGAATTATTCCCCCTCCCCTCATATAAGAGTAACGTAATAAGTAAACGACTCCCTTTCATATTGACGTTAAGGTATGAAAAAGTGGAATGTAGTATTCTCTTGGACATAAAAGAAATAAAATTTCAAATTGGAAATAAAAGCTTATCAATTCAAAAGATAACACAAAAGCTTTTAATGCATCATTCTTAAAACACTAGGGACTCTGGGCTTATCATTCTCTGCCAGCTGGTATATATACAATGAATCCATTCTTACTCCTATCAATGGCAGTAACTCTGACCCAAACCTGCTTTCAATTTATCACTTCAAGCTATATTTTCTTACACCTATCATTTCACACAAGTAGTGCCTCTTTTTTTGTACAACTCAGACATGCCAACTAATCTTCAGATAGATTTTTAAAACTTTATTTTAATTGCCATCAAGCAGGGCTTCTTAAACTATGCTCTATGGCTTCCTAGACATGCATTGTATCGGATTATTTACCACAAACAAGTTATTATCCGTCACTTCCATAAAAGGGTTCATAGCACAGCACTAGCCTTAAGAAACAATGCATTGCGTCATCCGTCTCAAGGTTAACGGTAACTTTCATCTATAAATTGTTCTATAGGGAAATTTGCAACAATTAAACATGGCAATATTATCATTGGGTCATATCTGTATCCTTTAATTGAAGTAATTTCCGTAATTTCTTTAACCTGAAGAATTTCTAAAAACAAATAATGAAAGGAAATTTGATAATTCAAGACTTTAAACTGTTAGCTGTGTTAGAAGTTGCTGGCAAAGTTTTCCATATTCAGTAGAATCCCCAGAGATTCTTCGCAACTTAATAATTCCTTTACTTGCACTGTGGTTATCCATGGAAGAAGTTCCAGCCTTCTCATTATTATGTTGACGCTCACAAATCTTTAATTCGATTTGTAATCCACTCGAATATTCTAAATTCATATTAGATGCATCGTCTGTATTATTGAAGAAATGCTGATTACTTCCATCACATTCATTTCGATTCTGATTTATTCGATTTGGTGGAATCTTACTATTAATAATTTGTTGCCTCACAATTTCCATGATACTTGGTACATCTAAATTTCTACATTCATTTGGCAATGGAAGTTCATAGTATTCATCCGATGATGCACGGCTCTCACTCAAAGAATCTGGTGATAAACGTTCTTCTTCGGTGCTCTTAAATCCACTGGAATGTGATACTTCTTGTGCTGGAGACTGATTGGAATCGTTACTAAGTGAATCGTCACTAAAACCTAATGATTTATCGCTACCACGTCTTGCATATTGTTCTACTGAAGCTGCATCCATTTTTACACAAATTGGAACTGAATTTGTTGCTGTTGCCTGCTGATGCTTATTATATTCATTTTCTAAACTAGCTTTTCGACCAACACCACGCGTTATGGATGGCATATCATCGGATGGTTCCTTTATAAGAAATTCATGAAACATTGAGATTCCTTTAATGCCTGTACTTGCGCCAGGAGTTGTGACCGTACTCGCTGTACGACGTGATGTATCATTGCTATTATTTGTATCTAATGAGTCATCTGAATCACGACTCGAGTCGGACAGTGCAACAAGTGTTATTTCACTTCCTTGGACGTCTGTCAAACAAATTTGTGGATGGTGATGTTGAGCACTCAAATCACATGGGGACATTTGTTGGTATGAATGTGGTAAATGCTCTTCTTGTATAATACATAAATTATTACTTGGTGATGTTGGTGGTGTTGGTTGCATCATTCTTTGTTGTTGTTGCTGAATCTGTGGCGATGTTCCTGTTGATGTTAAATTTAGTGGTCTCATTTCATAGAAAGCTTGTGGCCATTGTGTTGCTTCCGTTTCGCATAGAGTCGTTTCCATTGTGAGATCTAACGGCTCATTTGCAGGAGAATTAGTTGTTAATCCACTTATACCACGAGTAATCTGATGCATTGGTGATGTATTTAAGCTTGAGGAATGATGAGTTAGTGGCACATCGTTAGTTCGCATGTTGCCTGTATAATTCAAATTAATACCATGGAAATGATGCATATTTGTCATAAGATCCATAGTAGGAGGTGCTTGATAATTCATATTATTTAAGGGTGATGCACTTTGACTAAAGTTTTGTTGTTGTTGTATTATAGTACTTGAATGAGCAACGATTCCCAAATGTTGTGCTACTTCAAGAGGAACTTTTCGTGTTGAAATTATGATTTGAGCTAAATCGACATGTAAGCGATTCTCAAACACCAATCTTTCGAGACCTGGAATAATTGTGCTCATCATATCGGGCGGTACATCGATTTCGTTATCGACCTTTTCCACAAACAATTTCGTGTGCATTGGTGAACCTTAAACAAAAATAAAAAATGTAAGTCTGTTGCCATAAAATTATAAAATAAAAGTTGTAAAGATACAAAAAAGATAATTAAGGAGCCAGCGTGTTTCGAACACGCGACCGTTCGATCTGCAGTCGAATGCTCTACCATTGAGCTATAGCTCCAAACCCTATAATTTAAAGGGTTTTTTCGATAAATCCTAGAGACAAAACCTACCTGGTAATGAGACAGAATTTTCCTGTGGTGGATTTGGTGTTACAAGATAATTGTTTCTTTGCTGAGCAAGTCCCTTTTGTAATTGTTGGCATTCTTGAAAAGGCCCTTGAATTTGAGGATTTCGTGATCCTTCTGATGCTCGTCTTACCGGCGAGTATCGACCTAAATATCAGCAAAATAAATCATTATTAATAATTCAATTGAATTAAAATGATAAAATTCCATTATACATTCAGTTATTCATTTATTTTAATGATTAATGAAACATAAAGAAAGTAAGAAAGAAAGAAAAAAATGCAACAAAAACAGAATTAAACATTTAAAACATACAAAAACAGAAAATGGCACGAGAAGGAAATGTTAATCAGTTACAAACCTTAGCAAATCTTTAAAAATTTCACATCATTAGCAATCCACAAAAAGATGAATTGTCTGTTAGTATGTCTTATAAATAAATATACATTTATCCTTATATCCCCATCATCTTTATCTCTTGTGACAAATGTGCACACAAATGACTTACCCATAACTTCTTGCACTGTTGGCAATTTACATGCTCTACCATAACGTCTTTGTTGAGATATCACATATGAGTTTGAAGGGGGACTTCCCGAAACTTGATTTGCATTTATCAGCGATGGTGGCAAATAGTTTCGATTCATACGAGCTTCTACTTCGCGTATCAAATCAGGACTGATAACTTTTTAAAAAAACATTTTTCAAAGTTCAACGAAAAAAAATTGTTTTGCCAAAAAAAATAAAGAAAAATTTACAACATCAAAAAATAATAAAATTAAAATTTTAAATCAATAAGAAAAAGTTTCTCAATCTTTGAATTAAAAAGAAGCAGCATGCAGAAAATTATACAAAATTAAAATAAAGCACTTGATAAGCATAGGTTCATACCTGGAGGTCGTTCCATTACAGTCAATAGACCCGTTCGTCTCGTTCTTCCACTAGAAGTCGAGGCTCCACTTTGACTTGTTATGCCAGGTGAAGGAATTGGTGAATGCCCTATTTGTTGATCTGTATTTGGTTGACTCGATGGATTTTTAGATAAATCATCTGTACAACCTACAGTGTGTCGCTTAGAGCATCCACGGCCGTGCATATATCGTTGAATTTCATCATTTGAATCTTCACTACTTTCCATATTTGCATCTGTTGATTTTAATTGACATGAAGTTGCTGATTGCTCTGCAATCATTTGCTCATCATTAACAAGTTGTGAAGGATTTGTCATCGATGATGGATAGAAAATGTGTAGATTAGCACCACCATCTGATGCACGTCGTCCAAAACATCCAGCTAAAAATTGATTTATATGTGAGTCAAGACATAGACCAAAAATTATTAAACTTACTAGCACCCATGACCATAGGCGGTTTTAATAAATGCGGATCCTTGATAGTGAATGTATTGAGAGGCTGATTTTGCAACATGGGCAAATTGAGAGGAATTTGATTAGGTCCCATTGCCATGACAGTTCCATCAAATTTAAAGTTGACCATATTTACAGGATTACCAAGAGCTTGCTCGTGTGCAACATCACCTGGACCAACAGTATGACGTCTAATAGTACCATTAGTGGCAACAGATAAATGCATTGGCGTATCAGTAGGTGTTGGAGGCTGATGAATAGCATTTGGATCAACATCAATATCAACAGTGAATTTCTCAAAATCAGTATCAACTGGTTGAATTCCAAATTGTGACGTAATAGTACTCGTTAATGGACTAAGACGATCGATTGTCTCCTGTTTAACAGTTTCCGATCGATCAACAACACCTGTGGTAATGCTTGTTTTGCGGGATCTTTCGAAATAAAGAAAAAGAAAAAAATTTAAGAATGAACAAAATTTGAATGACATTTGAATTTAAAATTGTTTTGTGAATCAAACCTTGAATAAGCTAAATGCTGGAGACGCTTTTGCTCCTTACGTTTTTCTTCAAGTTTATCACACAATAAATGATAAATTGCATAAATATGATCGTATCGTGACTCGTGCACCGATTGTGCAATCAAATCAGCAGTGAGGCCAGGAATTTGAAGCATATGATTGATGACGATAGTATCCAAATTTTTTGTGTCCATTTGAGTTGTCAATGTATCATTCAATTCAGTTAAATTGATAAGATTATAGCGCGTGAGCCACCTGTGTTTGGCAATTTGTTTTAAGCTATATCGTCTTTCTGGCTCAACGACTAACATGTGCCGAATAAGATGTTCACATTCTTGTGACATGAAAAATGGTATTCGAAATTTACCACTTATCACAACACTCCGTAGGTCATGTAAAGTTGCTCCATCGAATGGCAATGCTCCACATACGAGGACGTAGAGAACAACTCCAAGTGACCAGATATCTGCTCGTGGTCCATCATATTCAAGTCCCTGAAATACCTCTGGTGCTGCATATGGCGGTGATCCACAAAATGTCGTCAGAAACATGCCCTCAGTGAACATATTACTAAAGCCAAAATCTACAATTTTCACATTCATGTTATTATCCAGCAACACATTTTCCGCTTTCAAGTCACGATGAACAACACCATTTCGATGGCAATAGTCAACAGCCGAGACAATTTGTGAGAAAACTCTTGCCGCTTCTTCTTCCTTCATTCGTCCATGCGTCACTAAATGATCAAATATTTCACCACCACCCGCATGCTCCGTCACGAGATAAATGGAATTTTTTGATTCCATTACTTCATATAGTCGCGTGATGTGCGGATGATGAAGTAATTTTAAGATGGAAATTTCGCGAAATGTCTTTGCCAAGTTATCATCATCGAGACATGTTTTATCGATGATTTTTATGGCCACCTGAAGGAGAGTCAGTAAGAATCAAATATGAGAATGAGATGATACTTTTTTTTCTTCTTAAGTCTAACAACAATAACAACAAGAGAATGACGAACAAGTATGGAAAGAATAATAATATTTGTACGAGATAAGAAGAACCAAATTCTATCATTGGAAATTGTCTGTGTGTGTATGAGTGTAAACAGGTTTTCAGGTCTTTCGTGAAACAAAAAAAAATCTATAAGTGACAGTTTTTACCAAGCACGTGCTTCATCGATGGAAAAGAGAGAGAGGGAGAGAGAGAGAGAGAGAGAACGAGGGTGTGCGAAAAAAAGAGACGAAAAAAAAAATTCAATAACATTGACCAGTAATTAGCGCCGATTAACAAATACGGCATTTGTATGTGTTTTTATGGATGTCTATGGTTAGTAAAATTCTCCCTTTTTGCATACATGCCTTCATTTGTATTCGACAATATCGTGTCTTGAATTTTAATGAGCTGTATATAGAGAAATTATATCAAAAAGAAAATGAAATGAATAAAAATGACATTTTCAATTTTATCGATTTTTTTTGTCTGCGGACTCGCGCGCGCCTTGATATCGAAAAGAACTTTTCTTTTCGCTCACTCTCATCATTTTTTTCTTGTTCAATTTCTGCTCACATTTTTCATCATTTTATTTGTTTTGTTTTGTGTGAAGCTGCTATTTGGTTGCTTGCTGGCTGGATGAAGGACTGACTGGTTGGATTTTGATAAATAATATGCAATTGTTGGAGAGAATCACAATGAAATTATGTATATATTATCGACCCGGCATTCGTGTGATTGTCAGTGTGTGAGTGGATGTAAATCTATGTGAGAAAGGGCATGCATATCATTTTCTGACATACTTTCATTCAAAAAAAAAAGGTACACGAAATACGAAAAATAAATAAAATAAATTTCCGACCCATCATCAAAGCCATAGCTTTTTTTTCCTCCATTATAATGAAATACCAGAAACATGAATTGTTCAATGTCAAACGTGTTGTTGGAAAGCTTTACATAATTGAAAGCGGGTAGCTTTGAAAAATGCATAAAAACAATGACTTTATGTAGATTACATTACTAATTGCTGTACTATTGAAGGCCATAAAACTCACATTACCAATTCTTCTACTATATACTTTATCATTCGGTCATTGTCATCAGACTTTCTGACCACAATCGGTTTCAACCCGAAAAATACTGTTCAGTTCGGTTAAAACAGCCTTTAATGTACATCGTCGACGTATATTTTTATTTCATTCCTTATCGCTTATCATAATATGAACAGAAAATTGTAAGAAACCAAAAAAACATTACTTTCTGTACTCTACTTCTAAGTACTTGAAAGACTTTATATGAATTCCAATTCTTCTACTAGCTTGCTCACTATGATGTATAAAGGTTGGAGGGGATGACGATGATGATGGAAAGAAGAAAGAGGAAAATCCTCATGAAAAGTTTAAGTTTATTTTTCCTGTTGAATGCTTTCAACTTAAAGTTCCATGAGCACTTCCATTGAAACTTTATGCCTTGTTATTTATTCTAGCTCTCTCTTTTTTTTTCTATCATAATAACAGACCAATTTTACTATAGTGGATAATTTCTTTAAAACAACAGTTTTTGTATAAATATTCACTCTTATCGGAACAATGTAAACATTTCTTATATATTTAAGCCTATTTTAAAGTATCTATGATCCTTACATGACTTTTTTTTTGTTTCGTGGAAAAACCCAAACTTGATTAGATTGTCAAAGTCAAGGTATCTTAATAAATTGACTTAAGTGATTCAAACTTATCTTGAATGTACATGAATCATAATCCTACTATGTCCCATATCAATGCCCTATCAAAGGAGAGCGACTTTTAACATTCACGATGATCCAGTAGAAATTATTAGCCTGAAGATTTGTTTATTTAAAATATTTCTCTTTTGATAAGAATTGGAGATCAGTTGAATAAAAGTTTAATTAATTAAAAGTTCAACGAGATAAATTTCATTCCACATGCTAATTAATACCTTTCCAAGTACTGTGAATCAAAAAAGTTTTAATGTTGAAGGCAATGATGTTGGTGAAGCTATGATAAATTTTTTTTTCAGTTCCATAAATGAACAAAATTCTTCAAGCATCAAAAAATTGTTACTAATTGTCGATAATGAATGCGGAGTAGTCAGAAAAAAGAAACAATTATCATTGATATGTTTTTTCACTGTTCAAATATGTGTGTTTCTTGAAATTAGTGTGAATATTTGAGTCACCCATGTTAATTGACATAGTCAATATGAAAAAAGTATCTCAAAAGTTATCGAGAAAAATCTTTCGGAGTTACAAAGCTACAAAACCTTTTGTCACCTACTGACAGTATCGTTACGTTTATGTTTATTGTTTGTCATACATTAAAAAAATACAGCTTCCAATTGGGCAACAGCAACACAACAAATACCTTACTTTGGAGTTGTTTGCATATTACGTAACATAATTTTACCCCTTGCGCAATTCTCACAAAATATTTTTTAGATTCTACACTTCCTTCAACAAAGAACGGAATTTGTAATTGGACCAAGTTGTGCACATTGTAAATCTGAGATGGAACTGAGAGGAGTTCAGGAGAACAGCAATATTAAATTCATATATGTGGGATTACTTTACATTATTTTACTTTGTACTTTGCATATGCTTTTGCTTGCTTGCTTGCTTGCCTGCCTGTACATGACAATGATTGAATATTGAATATTGTGAATGGTATAATTAAGACACTGAAATGTCAAATGATATTTTGCAAAACATGAGTTTTACTTCATCTTTTTTCATATTCTTCTTATTCACATCCAAAGAATGACATATAATGAATGGGGAACTATAGAACGATATTGAGGAAAAATTGTGTTACAACTTCTATATCAGCAAAGTTATCTTATCAAGGTATTACTCATTTCAATTGGATTGTAATTTCAAGTTCTTGTATCTCTGTTATTGATTGCTCTCTGGATGTTGTCAATGAGATTTTAGATTTTTCTTTTGACTTTGGAAATATCCTGAATGTCCTCAGGAATTTTTCTTTGTGATAAATTTTACCAAAGAGTTTTAATTTGAAATTTGAATCTATGGATTTAGATGTCAAAGATATTTAGTTTACGTATCTTAGGATAGCTGCATGTCAAACCATAATGTTCCCAAATTTTTCTGAATTTCATTGGATGAGAAATTAGAAATAAGTCTGATTCGAAGCTTTTAATGGCACTTTATTCGTTCGTCAATTAATTTAATTTTGAAAAAGTTATGCTGTACAGAATGGAACTGATAAGAGCATCGTCAAAAGAAAGAGAAAAGTTAATAATATACAAAAATTTGTGGTTGTTTTTATGGAAGAAATAAGGAGAATAAGAATGACAACAATATAAAAGTAGGTAGCAGTCACTTTAATCTTATCAGTATCATAGAACAAATCATTCATTGATTTATGCAGTTAATCCAATTTGTAGATTAAAGCAAAATCATTTTCCCACTCGAAGTTTTTTTAAGAAAAGTTTTGGTTTATTGCATTTTATAGCTGTGACATAAAAATAGAATCCTTGTAGTTGTCAACGTCCTGTTATTTTAAAATTGCATGCATGCCTTTATGCAAATTTAAAACTATGGAAATTTTATTTAAAGAAAGGACATCGCATCGCGCGAGTAATGTGTAAAATTAAGGCCTATTTTAAGGCACGTTGACATTTTTGTAAGAAAAAAAAAAGAAAATTCAATGACGATACAACCTATAAAAGTCTTGGTCATACTATTTTACATAATAATAGCACTCTATCCTTTGGCATTATCGAAAATCCTTTAACCTTATGCAGAAGGAGAAAAAATTTGTTTCATTTTTCTTTTTACTACAAAAAATTTCAGAAAGACTCCTTTGAATAACGAAACACGTTCTCACTGGCCTCGGAACTACACGCATTCACATTCAATACAATGAGACAAAAAAGATATCTAATAAGCAATTATAAATGGCAGTTCTGCAGTAATTTTTAATGACTTTTCTTCCATTCGTGACAAAACCAAATTTTCTATTCACTTTGACTGACTGTTCGTCATCGATTTATGGATTAATGTTTTAAATTTTATTGTTGGTAATTTATTTTGGTCACCTGACGGGTGTGCCGTAAGTTTTTATCACTTTTTTTTAGTGTTCACTTCATGATAACTTTAATACACATTCTCAACAGCAATTCTAAAAACGCATTTTAGACAGTCACTTATGAAGATTTTTTAACTAGATTTTTTTTCTGCTGTATTGATGAAAGCAGAATAAAGAAAACAAAGTTTTGTGTTACATGAATGAAGAGAAGAAGGAAAAAAAATTGAATCCGGCAAAAAAAGTCAATGAAACATCCCACATCTTAGTAAAGTGGTCGTAAAGAAAGAGCAGCAAAAAAAAATTTTTTTTCTTCAGAAGAGAAACAAAGTCATATAAGCAAATGAGGCTCTTTATGCTACTCTTATGATAAAGATATGACATTGATTGTTCATGCCAGTTGCAAACATAATTTTTCATGAGCTTAAAGATAGAGAGCGCGCAAATGAAAGTGAATTTTAACTCGAAAAAAAAGCGGGTACGCGGAATAATATCAACAATAATGTTTCTACATTCATTACGTCAATAGAAATGAAAAGAATCAATATCATACAACATCAACAACATGAAGCATACACATATTTTTTTTCTCTCTTTTTTGTGCATGCATAAAAGTGTTTTTTTTTTCTATTTTGTTGTTGTTTCTCGTTTGATTGTGGAGAAGACAAAATTACGAATAGGGAAATATTAAATAAGCAAAGAAAAAAAAATGAGATTCACAGTTTTTTATAATAATTTTAATAATAATAATTATAATTTATTTTTTTTTTCTTCTTTTTCGGGGGCATTTTACCTTCGACTTTGTTATGGAATTTGTTGCGAGCTTGACGACCGCAAAGTTGCCTTTTCCTGCATTGACAATGCGATTGAATTTAATTAGATAATAACTCTATAATCATACGATAAACTTTATTTTCCTGCCCTTACCTATAGTCTTTTCTAATTCATAAAAACCTACACGAACTAATTTCTCGATTTTATTTTCATTATTACCCGATTTTGCCATGATTATGACTTAAACAATTAATTGAATTATTTTTTTACACACAGCTCATTACATCGCATTTGCTTGAAATTTATATATTTTTTAACTTTAATTTTTTCCTTTTTAAATTAATTTTTTTTCTTTCTAGAGCTCGAAAAGCTTTTTTTTTTGAAAGATTTTTCAGGCTTTTCTTATCACATTCTTCTCTAGCCTTCTCACTTCCACTTTGCTTCCATCTCTTTTATTTTTTTTAATTTGCGATACAATTTATCGTTCATTTTTTCAACTTCTTAATGCATTTCATGATGTAATTTTATTGAATTTAACTAGACAATAATGTTAGGAAGAGAATTTCATAAGAATCTATTGTAAATTCTTATAAGAACACCCCGATTCCGTAAAATATTATTCACACTATAGTCCAATGTAGCTTTCGAGCAGCTCTCCGTTCTTTTTTATTGTTTCGCACTTCCATACCCTCGATTTGAAACTTTTATGGACGTTATGACTGACTATGGATTGATGATGTTTTTAAAACTTGGTAGTCGGGTATAGTACCATGCGCACTATCTACGTGATTTTTCTATTCATAAAAAATAAATTCAAGGCATTGTGTTTACATAAGTTCTCTTTATCCTTTTCCATAACACTACATCGTCACATACACCAACTGCTTATGAATGCCGCAACATGTGCAAAATTTCTGGCTTTTTATTAAATAATTCTACGCACAATCAAATTCATTCATAAAGATGATGATGTTCATCAATGAAGATTTTTTTTTTCAATTTCCTGTATGTCGCACTATAACTTCACATGCTGGCAAAAAGAATAAATGAAAACGAAAATTTCTTTCAAATAATCCTCAAATTGTTATTGAAACGTAAAGAGATTACGCTCATTGTACCAAACTAATTTCCTGACAAATTGATTTCATTCATTGAATGGGCTTAAAAAATACATGGAACTGAATATAGTTTTTTTATGATTCTGCACAATCTTTGAATGTTCAGGTATAAAAATATTCAGGAGGAGAGGAAATGCATGTCTTATAGACATTTTTTAGGGAAAAGAAAAGACAAAAACTTAAATAAAAGAGAATAAAAACCTGCAATAGTCAAAACTGATCATTTGATCCGATCGAAACTGTCTTTAGTCACCTGCTGCAAGATGTTTTTTTCACTTGCACGATCCTTCAATATTTCATTATGTTATCTGATAGCTGAACATTTCATGATGCTCATGTATCATGTGGATGTTTAAATCATCAAATCTAAATGTTTGTTATCTTCCTTCTTTCAACTTTTAACTACCAAAAAAAAATATTTTATAGCTTTAAAGAATATAAAAAAAAGGTTGGAGCAAAAACAAGAAACACAAGGCGGAGAAGTACACAACATAACGCAAAACTACATCCTTTTCCTACATCTTTTTCTCTCTTATTTCTTTAAATAACAAAGAATTGATGAAAATTGCTTCTTTGACTCCTCATATCCGCTAGAAAATTGTAACCAAAGATATAATTTTTTTTTCATAGTAAAATTTCCATCTCTTGGGGTTGTGTAAAATTAGAGACTTGAACAAAATGAGACGATACCAACAACGAAGTGGGAAGTTAAAATGCATCAATGAAATTTGAAACTTAACACACGACATAACGTAAGTTTCAAAATTAGATAGTATGAAAAATGTTGAAAACTATGGCACGTTTTAAGAAGATGAAGAATTCCTAATTGCCAATCAATTAATTCTATTTTAGGAAGACATAAATCACCACAAAATGTATATATGCAGTTCCGCATGTACTGGAATTTTACAAAAAGTTTTAAATTATTCATGAAGCAATGGAAATATCCTTTATGCTTCCATGTAAATCATAAACTAATAATTAACATTACAATAGAATTTTTATAGCATTTTTAGCATTGAGGAATCTCCATCTGTAGGTAAAATTATGGTAAAATTAAAAATTCCACATACCAAAGTATCTTTCTTCTTTTACATTTTACCGAAACTAATTTTAATTCCTCTGCATCCAGGAACTGCATACTGTTTTCACAGATTTTTTTGTTTGTTTAAAGCGTGAAAATAAGAATAAACAAATAAAGTAAATAAATAGAATTACAAACAGCATTTACGATATTCAAAAGGTGTTTTAAGGAAGAAATTCATTTTCACAACTTTAGCTTTACTTAAATTAAGATTAGGAGGATAGATATGCTTGCACTTTGTCGATCATTGCAAATCTTAATATTTTGTTCATGTTTCAATATTAAGGAATGAAATTTAAAATCATATTAAGACTAACTTACTGTTGAAAATTGTTTTGAAGTATTCTAAGTGCTAATTGATCATAACTGATTGAAACTACAAAACAAGCTAGTATTAACTTAATGCGTTGTGAATCAATCTTTGCTCACCAGAAGTTCCAACTTAATATTCGTAAATCTAAAAAAGGAAAAGGAAAGAAGTCCTGACATATATGTGTTTTGTGTACATCCTACAGGATGTTTAACTTTATAATTGAAATATATTCCATGGCACATTTCTGAAAATGATATTTGTTTATTTTCAATCGCTTTTAGCCTTTGGGTATTTGGACATAAACTTCTAAAGAAAATTATGATTGATAAGGTCATAAAACCAAGAAGCTTAAGATGGAAAAAAAAATTAAAGAAGGCACAAAAGACAGGATAGTGATAATGTTTACTTTTAATTTATCTCTGCTCTGTGAAAATTGTGAACGGAAAAGTGCAATTTAGGGAGAGGAAATTGTAAAGAACTCCGAAAGTGAATTTTGAACAATGGATCGGAATTGAGAATTTCCGTTTGAATTGGCTTTAACTGACATCAAAGTAAATACATATGACATGAGTATGATTGAAATCGATATTTTTGAATACAAATATTAGGCATGTGAGAATCCAATCAAAATATTTTTCTTAAAAAAATGTGTAAAGGATTTGACAGGGATTTTAAGAGGAAACTGCTGTGTTTTGCCTATTCGATCTTTTTAGAAAAGGGTTTTGCAGCAGTTTTAATGAATCATAAAAATTCTCAGTTTGCATGCTCAACACATTTTTTTGCTCTTGATTTTTTTTTTTCGGCAAAAAATACAAATTTCTTGACTTCCGTTTCTAATTTTAAAAAGCAAAACTTAAAGAAAAGAATACAAAACGTCGTCATTGTTGCCTTTATTACACACATATAGTTGGTTGACTATATAGAATTGTTTGCTGTATATGCATGATGTTTTTTTTTTTTTGTGAAGGAAGAGAACTGAAAAGGAAATCCCCAAAAAAATTTGTTGTAAATTATTCTTTCATTATTTTCTTAACATTAATAAAGCAATTAAATTTACTCTATTATGTTCAATTATTTTCGTTATGTTTTGATTCCGGTTTAAGTAATGAGTATACGGGAAGTGCAGTAAAAACTGACAAAAGCAAAGTAATGAGTAAAAAATTGAAAAATCAACTCCATTAATGGATGGACATATAAAAGGATAGAAATAGAAGACGGAAGGATGTGCATTGTTCTATGTGAACCTGCATCCTTTTCTCATGCGATTGTCTATTTTGGTCAACGTATTTTTGCTATTTCAATTTCCGCCTTACACATTTCAATTATTTATTTATTGTTGTTCATTTATCGCTTCCCTTTTTTGTGAATGAACCATTTGAATGAACGGAAAGAGATTTGTGAAAGGAAGAGGAAGACGCAGAATCCATTCTGGAGTTACAAAAACACAACTTGACATTCATATCTTTTTTGTCAATGAATCAATTTTAACGCATGCTCATTAAAATCTCATGAGATCAAAAATCCCCAAAAAGAAGAAGAAGACCCGAATTGAGATGTTTATGTTGATTTATCAAATTATTTTGATTCTTTATTTAATAATTTTCTTTTCTTCTAATAACATCCATCAATCTTCTCTCGCTTCTCTCTGTGTCTCTTTTTTTGATTCTTACGCGTCAGTCATAATTGATCATCATATCGTAAGTAAATAGTATGAATGAATCTTTTTTGGACAAACCAGGACAAACATAAACTGAATAAAATTTAATATCTATTCTATTCTTCAATGATTATCCGACTCTTAGTTCTTCTTCCATCGGTGTCTTTTCCTGATATCTTAAAAACATGTGCATGACATATACATTCATTGATTTATTTGTGCCTATACAATATGGAGTTGGTGACTTTTTTCCTTGCAACAACTGTTGTGAATGAATAATATACACCAATATAGTTAAGAAACTATGACTGTATTTGAGAATATGTTCAACAGTTTGCTACGTAGACGAGAATTACGTTTCATTCATGAATTCAGTTTAACTTGAGTTCTCATCGTGAAAACACGCAAGAAAAAAAGTCTCTAAAAAATATTAGTAAAATAACAAATAGCTAAGAAATCTCTCGAGTGGAACTACGGCATAAGTGCATGCATAGTGAAATTTCCGAAAGAAAGAAAGAAAAAAAAATTAAATTAAATAATAACAATTGTGAAGCAGTAAGAAAAGAAAAGAAATCTTAAAAGCTACAATTAACTGTAAAGTAATTACTCAAGTGTGGAAAGGAATGATAAATAAAATTGTTAATTAAAAATTTATTTAACCGCGAAGACCCCTCACAGAAGTTGAAGACGAAACATTTCCTATTCAATTCTTCTTTCTTGATGTACGAAAATTGAAAAAAAAAATCACGGAAAGAAATAAATAAATAAATTGAACTAGAAATATAAAGCTTTATTGGGCTCACTTTACAAATCAACCGCAACCAAAAAAAAAAAATCAAAAGGCAAGACAGAGAAAGAAAGGAGGAAATCGAACGGATTGAGAAGAAGCGAAATTTACACAAACATTTAGAAGTACCATCTGCTACTTTAATTTCAAACAAATTCTCTTATTTTTTTGTGAACTATTTAAAGCAGTAATAATAGAAGAAGAAAAGAGGAAATCCCGTGGAAGGTAAGAAACATAACATTCTTCTTGTTCTTCCATTTGTTTTTATATTTTTTTCATATGCCGCCACATTCAAGTATCAAAAATCTCTCATCTCTTAAGATGATCCAGGAAATTACGATTTCCTCACTTTATGTATCAAGTAGTATAAAGAAGAAAAAAAACTACTTAGTTTAAGTTAATTTAGAAGCAATTCTATTGAGAAAATTAGAGAATCTTCGTGTGTATAATATGCGGATAATATACGCACGTTGCTTACTATAAATACATGACGTCATGTCGGGTTTTTATTATGTCTCAACTTTTCATCATCATCTAGCATATTTTCCGCTATTAGATGAAAATAAAGTAGCTACTGTGTACACACATCATGCTTGTCAAACTCTTTCGTACAATTTTGCTTAATGTGATCATCCGTAAATGAGGTTTAGAATATTTTTCGAGACTTAATCGTTTTACAACATTAAAGGACTGCATAGATTTAGATCAAGATGCTTCTTAAAGCTAAGACATTATTAGTCGATGGCAATTAGGTTGCAACTAGCACATTTCCTCGTAATTTCTGTCTCTTGCACTATTAATGCATTCTAAGATAATTGTTACCAAACAGTCTGCAGACAATCATGTGATTACACATTACGAGCAGAAAATTGCCGCTAATCTTAATCTGTCAATGAGAATCTGACGTAACCTTATCAGGTTGAATTTTTAAATAGTCATCACGGTGGTGATTAATTGTCAAAACACTAGAATTGCGAAATCAATTGTAATGTTGTTTAACTTCCTGTAATTTTTATATATTCTTGCTGATATCAGCATTATAGTCATATTATTATTTTTGTCACTACTATTTTTGCTGTTATCTGAGCTTAGTTTTTTTTTATGCGAAAATGAATGCATGTAACAGGAAGCGCATTTTGTTAATTAGATATTTTTTTTCGCGATGACAATGGCATGAATGTAATTGGATTACCCCAGCGATCAACATTTCAATTGTCTTCTTCTTTGATACGTCAACAAAATTGTCGGCTCAAAGTTCGTTACTTCCTTCAATACACTTTAATTATTCGATTAAATCACGACTTAAAGAATGAATGAGACTCTTGAAATTAGAATTATGACATCAGATTCCATACTAATTTGTGTATGATAAAAATGTTGTTATTGACGCATTCCAAACATGCTACCGTATTTGATTCTTCCTCTATTTCTTTCCATGCTTCTTCTTTTTCACATCCTGATTTTAAAAATATAATAAAAAAGTATTACAAGGCCATTAAAACTGAAAGCAGAGAAACTTGGATATCCTGCTTTATTGTCAGTATATTTACTTTCCTACTTACTTCTATTATTACCCTTTTTTTTGTGGCTGTTATGTGGCAAGAGATTCTTGTCTAAGGTTCCTCTTTAACATCAATTTTTTATTGACTGATTAACTCTTTCTTCTCATTCTTCATTCTCTATCAACATTTAAATCACACAGTCTTTTGGAATTATGTTTTTTTGGTGCGAGAAGGAACTAGATCCCTTCTTTGTTGCGCATTATTTTGTAAATAAATTCAGTTTAATAACATTTTTCCTTTTGTACTTCCTTATTAACTATGTACAAATATATCCGGTCGGATTTTGTTTTTTCTACCCAGAAAATTAAATGATACAGGCGCTGTGTGTTTTTTTGGGGAATTAGATACTTTTTATATTCATCCTCATCCAAAACATAAATTTTTTGTTAAAATTTTTTGCCTGCTTGAAATATGCAATTAAAATGTCAGCACAGCATACACAAAAATAATATATAAGCATGCCGAAAAGGCTATAAGAGAATGACTAGTAGAAAGGGAAGGAACGAAAGAAAAATTGCAGTAAATTAAATTAATATTTAATCATATATCCATGAACTTGTTAAAAGTGCTCTTAATTTGAGGAACGAGAAAGTTTCTTCCTCTTAAGACCTTCTTAATGTCTCGTAATGATAGTGCTAGTTGAGGGATAAAAATTCACAACAAATCGTAAATCTTACTGATTGAGGAAAATAGTCTATTTAAGTGGATGAAGATCTTTTCCTTCTTCTTATGCCTTCTTTTTTTTTTCGTTCAAAAATACAAATTATAACTTCCGTCTTGCTCTCTATTTTTACACACGACAGACTTTTTTACGCACATACCTGACAATCATATTTCTTGTATGTACATTAAATCACTCAGAAGTCTTTTTAGGGCACCCTGAAATTATAATTAGGTAAAATTTTTCAATTTCCTTGATTTTCTACCTCTCTCGCGCGTCATGTTAATTGCTTATATGTTCCATGTGATTCCTTCTTATTCCCCCTTTTTTTGAAAAAATCAGAAATTCCTACGAGTCATGTGTAAAAATGTTGAATTATTATTTCTTACTGTGTGAGATTTTGCAGCTTGACAGCACACATATTTAGTGTAGAGAGAAATGTCTCTGGAGATCTTCAGATTCGTTGACTGGAAATACAATTTCCTTTTCCTGAGTTAAATCTCTTATTTTTTTTCTTCTTTAATTTGTGTCCGCTTTTGTGACAATTTCTCGGCTGTGTCTTTTTTTTCGTCTAACGATATTCATTGGATCTCGCGGTGCTCACTTCTTAAAACTAATGATTGAAAATCAATCCATAAAATTTCTTATCGGTAACATCCTGTTTCTATTGCTGTAAAATTATTTACATCTATCAAGACACAAATGAGACTGTGAGAAAGTCACGAGAATACAATTTGTTATGGATGAGAAATGTAAAAATCTACTGAATCATGGAAAAGTTCACAATAACGGAAGCTCCATCAAAACTGCTGTAGCATGGCATAAAACTAGTGAGAAGAAATAATGATGTAGGAAAAAAAAATTAAAAGATTGTTCAAAATGATCACGCGAACTTCTTAAAAGAACTTGCCGATGCGTCATCCACGGAAATGAGAAAATTTTTTGAAATCCAAAATAAAAAATTGACAGCAATTTTTTTACATAATTTTCAATACATTTCCACTTCCTGTACATCTCTCTATGGCAGTAATAGCAGCGGCAACGGATGAACTATCTATTTGTTATTAAAAATAACACACTCATACTGAACTTAGCAACTAAAAGAGCCGGCTATTTTGAATTTCAAAAAAGTTGGCTATTACTCAATGAGAAAGCGATATGCGAAAAGCATTAACAAAAAAATTTCTTTACATCCTTACTCACGTTGATTGACATGACATCGTCGTCGTCAACAGCATCATTGTGATGACATAAATGGCTCATCAATTCGACGAAGAAAGAAATGAAAAAAGTTCATTAAGGAAAATAAATTTTCATATTTCCAACTGTTGAAATGAGTTGAAAGCAAGTTGCGAGATTTCTTTTTCGCTTCCCCCTTCCTTCTTGTCATTTGTCTCTCGATGTGTGTTTTTCACATCTATTGGAAACATATGTTGCCTATTAAGAAATATACAGTTCAAAATGTGTGTATAAACGAACAGCAGCAGCAATAATTTTACATTGTCGATTGACAAAAGTGCATTTTCAATCTCCAATTTCGGGAAGCATTCATTAGTGATGTTAAGCTTTGTTTGGAATTTTCTTACATTTCTATCAATCATTTTGTAAATTGCGAATGAAAGCAGGAATTTAAGAATGATATAATGGATTGAATATAGACATAACTTCAGAATGGCCCAACATATATATTGACGTAAAGAATAGCAAATGAAATGTAAGCACTTTGAGCACGTTGTGTTTTACAATTTCCCCAAATGTAGACCAAAGTGATTGCATATTATGGATTAAAAAGTTCATTTAAAATTCAACATGTTAAAAATTTATTCCATCACTTAAACGCAATAAGTCTCTCTTTCTTTCTTCCCCCTCATGCATACATGTCGATAATTAATAATAGATTTCCGGCTGTTTATGACTTTTTGGCATTCTTTGTTTACGTTACTTAAAGAATAAAATCTTTTCTTTTTCCTGCTCATTCACATTTTTCTCATTATGCATTTCGGTCTAAGTCTTTCCAGACACAATATCGATCATAATGCCTTTAATGACTACAGCTATAAAATCTTTAAAAGCCATTTAGATAATAATCAAGAGAACATTCTCAAATTAATTTAATTGTCCCGCCTGCAAAAAAAATCATTCCAAAAAAATTACATAAACGCTGTTTTGTCAACACACTATGGAATTTCCGATTGCCATAATTTATGTCAGTAATGGTCTTATTACGCAAGGTCATTGTCTGTTATTTATTTGCTTCATTATCAAAAATTTTTTGTAGTGCATTAATTGAGGATGAATGAGGAAAAAAAGCCGGAACCTCATTTGATGATGATAGTAGCAGATACTTTTTTGTTTCGAGTAGAATTCAATCGATGACACAAAAAAAAGAGACGCAACACATACATTGTGCTCTATCTTTCCGGTTTACAATTAAGTTTTTACAGGCGACCTTTTTAAAAACATTTTTAATCTACCAATTTTTATCAAAAATGGAAAAAAGCACTTTCAATGGCATCGCATGTATGTCTGTATGTCTTAATTAATAACGAATGTTGCTACTAAAGTGAAAATGGCTATTATTACACCACAAAATTGTTATCATTCTGCACAAACAAAAAAAGCTGTAACTTCCATTGTCAAAAGTACAAATTCAATTGTTGTTCAATTTGATCGGACGACAGGAAATGGCATTAAACAATTCTGTTTTTGTCTCATTGCCGTTTACATCTTTCTTTCTCTTCTCGAGCCCTATCACTCGTCTCACTCACTAGTCTTTTTTCCCCAATTCATCCAAAATAAAATTCAAAAAGAAGGAAATGTGTTTTTATACAGCAGTTAGGTATGATATCTCCAAAAAAAAAGAAGAGAATTGACGGGATGTATAAGTGCTGTATTTTTAATTGAAACACAATAAAAAATATTTCAAATAATAAAATTGAGCATATTTAGTACCGACATAATCTAACATTGAATCCGCTCTTGTAATTTAATCTACGGTATATAATTTTTCATAACTTACGGTTTATTCTTTATTCATTTATTTCATTTCCGATATTCTTTTCTATTTTCAGACTTTAAAGAAGCTTAAAAAATAATAACAGCAAAAATGCAAGTCGAAAGTAATAATAACAACGGTCTTCATAATCGTGCACGTCTTTTTGCCAGAATACCAGCATCGATTGATCTTCGTTCGGTGACAAATTGTCAAGCAGAAAGCGAAAAGCATTGGAAAACAAATCAAAATCAAAACGGAAGTAACTTCACTAAACCTCTTCATGTAAAGACATCAAATTTAGAAAATTCTCTCGTTAAATTAGATTCTGATGGATTGCCTTTTGGTAAGATATATTTTAATAATTCATAAATGACTAGTTCTAATACTAAATTTGATTCAATAGATCCACGTGACTGGACACGACAAGACGTTAAACGATGGATCATAAATCTAGGCAAGTCAGAAGGAATCCATGACGTTGATCATATCTCAGAGAAATTTAAGATGAATGGTAAGGCACTGTGCCTGATGTCAGTTGAAATGTTTTTAAGTCGGTTTCCAACAGGTGGTAAAATGCTTTACCGTGATTTTCGCCTTCGACTTACGAGAGCATTAAGCTTATAAATTCATTCATGAATGAATGAATGAATATTGTGTACATAAATTACATTTTTGTGTTACCCATTCTATTAAGAATTTTTCTCTTAATCTTATTCTTTCATAATTTTATTTTTATCTCTTATTTAAGACTGCTCATTCACTAGCTATAAAATACATCCATTCATTAGAATTTCATGAAAAAAGCTATCATCAAAAAAAAATATTAATTAAGTTTAAAATATGGAATAGGAATTTCATTAGTTAATATAAGCTTATATGCTAGTCAAGCCTAAGATTATGTGTAAAAAAATGATAAAAGAAAACAATAAAATATTTTGCACCAATAACCGTTGAAATTTTTTTTGAATTTCTCTTTTTCTGCGTACCCCAGCAGATTAAAAAGAAATAATTCAATTAGTTGAGTACCCTTCTTGTTTACTAAATCTCGCCAACACTTTAATATTAATTTTAATTAAATTTAGTGCTTAATAATGGATAATTTACCAAATGAATTGGTCTATAACATTCTTAAAAAACTAAAGCAAAAGGAGCTATTAAAGTGTGCAATGGTCTGTAAAAGATTCAAGGATATAATCGAATCTTACAGTTTGATCAACAAATTAGTCATTCAAGATGAAGTTTGTGATTCATCATTGCCGGTTTTCAATAGAAAGTATACCAAGGTCATTATCAGAGATAACAATGATGTCAATATTTTGAAGGCATTACAAACAACTGGAGATAGTATTTTGGAAGTGAAATTTGATCAGCATAATTCGTCTTTGGAAAGCATTACTAAAACATTGAATTATCTACCAAATGTCAAGGTTATTACATTTTATTACGTACGAATTGAGGATGATGAGGAAGTTGTTAAGGATCTTGTGCAGCCAATATCACACACTATCGATTTTCATTTTCTTGAAAGTGATCCACTAATTTTCAAAGTATTGACGAATTTATCAGCAAAATCAATTGAGTTACGATTGTACGGAGATTCTCCGTATTACAACTTTGAAAACTTTATGCCATTCATGGCTAAACAGAAAGAATTAAAGTCATTCCGATTAAGTGGCATTTTTGAGTCCAATTTGATGTATGGGTATGTACCAAAAGGAGATTATCGCTTGACAGAGTTTGAAATATCAAATTGTGATCTTGAGGAATGGATTTATCTTGAAACATATCTTAATGATCATGTTGACAGCTTGGAGAAATTATCATTCAGAGATTTGCGATCTTGGGATCCATCAGTTATCGTTAAAGCATGCAACAACCTAAAACGGCTTGAAATATTGGAAGATATGAGCATTAATGATATCGACAGTGATATTACATCAGTCAAGGAGCTTTCAGTTGAGAATCCAAGCTTATCAATTACAAAGTTCACTAATTTGAAAAAACTATTCATGCAAAATGCAACAGCTGAAGTCAATCGTGCAATAATTGGTAGTAATATCGAGAATCTTACAGTCAGATTTGGAACTGTTGAAGGAATTCAATGCGAGAAGCTGACAAAGCTAAGATTAATGAACATTGATGGGCCATTAACTGAAGAGTTTTTCAGAAATCACCCAAAAATTGTAGATTTAAAGCTTGAAAATCATTTCTTGCTTACTGATGCTTTATTGGAAACAATTGTCAGGTACTTGCAGAACTTAAAAGTATTAACTATTTATGGCATGAATGACCTCTCATCTCGTGCATTTGAAATCATCAAGACTCATTGCAAGAATTTAAAAGTCTTGGATACAAAAATTTGGAGTCAACGCTACAAGATAGCAGACTGGAAGTGCCTCTTTGAAAGCAATAATGGAATCGAAATTTATACTGAAACTTTTAATTTCTAATCGGGTATTAATGTAAAATGTTGCAGCATGAAATTTATTTTTTTTTTAACAGAACAAATGGAACTAATAAAATAAACCTTTCATTTCTTATCATTTAAAATCATTTACAAATAAATGTTACTTAATGCTTTGATAACAGAACAGAGACCGTAATTGAGAAAATTAATTATGCTATCTTTTGGGTTTTTTATCAAGGCATTAACGGATTTTGTGATTTTAAAGTTCGAATCTGCCCACAGTTTGCCCAGTATGTGTTTTTCCCTTGACTAGATAAGTCGTTCCTGCTTTTGGACGAGACATTTTATTTTAATTAATTAATTATTTCTAGTGAGGCTAATATAATTTAAAACTATGGATTCTGACCTTTTTGATATATCTATAGTTATTGATCGTTTCAAAAAAGCATCCACAAGTGAGGATGATGTCTTATTGGAGTATTATATTGAGGCATTTAAAGAAATCTTGAAGTAAGCATAATTAACTTGACAATAAAAAATAAATAAATGACACAAACCTTGTCATTTTAGGTTCTTTAATGCTATGGGTACAATTTTTGGATTTGTATCTTCAGATATCAAAGTTAAAATTGGAATTCTTGAGGAGTTTAGATTAAATAAAGAAGTTTGTGATAAGTTTTTATCTGTTAAATCTATGATGGATTATGAAATGTCAGCCGAATTATTGCAAAAGAAAGATTATGTTTCTGGCTGTAGAACACTTTTGCGTTTACATAGAGGTTTGGACTTTACACGAAACTTTCTACGAAAACTTGCAGAATTAAATCCCGATGATAAGACGAGTGATGCATGTAAAGTCTCTTATCAGGACACATTGGCTCCTTATCATCCATTTCTAATAAGAAAGGGTGCTAATTTAGCAATGTATGCTTTACCCACCCGTGATGTTTTGCTTACTAAAGTTTGTAAAGATGTTGGTTCAGCCGTTAAGGCACTTCCTGAAATGCTTCAGTTTACTGATGTCGTTTATGATCGAATTCAAGCTCTTTACAAATTGAATGACCTTCTAGCTCTTCCATAAACAGCTTCAACTATACTTACTTGTCATTTGCTGAAAACTGTTTAATAAGAACTTTAAATCAAACGTTTTGCTCAATGCGAATATCAAAAAAAGTAGATATATGATTTTTTGAACTAAGTTCGTTTTGAATGGGATCAAGTTCATCTATATTATATTTTTCAGCCCATTATCGAGTCTTATCATTTTTTCACTTGGATAAAATTGTATTTATTTTTTTATGATTTATACCTTTTAGTCATGTTCCTAATTTGTGATAAATCGTAGCATGATACAAGCTTAATTTTAAAAAAATTACTATAAAATATTTAAAGTATCCATATTTTGCTCACAATATTTAATAAAGTTATTAAAACTGGAATTTTTATAAATTTAAATTTCATCGGTCATTAATAATCCTGCAATACTGGCTGTACAAAGAGTCACAAAACATCCAGAAATAAATGATTTTAGAATAACTTTTGTGAATGAGGATTTTCTTTCAGGTGCTAAAGCTGACAAAGCACCAATCATGATGCCCATCGAAGCTGGATTTGCAAAGCTACATATCGCAAATGTTGCTATCGCTGCTGATCTCATCTGATGAAAAAATCATACATTTTATTGAATATCAAAAGTTCAAAAAAGAACACTTAATCTTACTGAAATTTCATGATTCGCCTTATATTCTCCTAATTTCTTAAATGCCACGAATTCATTAATTATCGTTTTAGTTCCAATGACATTTCCTACTGCTTCGCAGTCTTTCCAATCAACACCAATCAACCAACTTATTGGCATGAACATTTTACCTAAAATGTATTGGATATCAACGTTATCGAACCCCATTAATAATGTTATCCATTTTAAAATCGCGTCAGCAAATGTCACGAAAGCAACAAAAGCGACCAAGTTAGCAATAATGTTAAGAATTAGAGGAATTGCTTGACTTGCTCCATTTGATGCTGCATCTAATATTGATGAATCAGTTCTGCAAACAAAAATTCTTTATAGTCATGCTTAGTTTAAATGTATAGAGTCAACTTACGATTTCTCCAATTCAATGTTGTTTGATGATGTCTTACTTTTCTCCAATTCTGGATACACTAGTTTGGAGAAGCATAATGAAGCTGGTGCTGCCATTACTGTTGCTGTAATCAAATGAGCTGGTTCGGCTCCAAATGCAATATAGGCAACCATTGTTGACCCAGAAACTGTAGCAAATCCAGACACCATGAGTGCATGGATTTCAGAATGAGTCAGATGCTTAATATATGGCCTTATTATTAAAGGACCCTCTGACATCCCCAAAAATATATTTCCAGCTGCATTCACACTTTCACAAACAGTCGTTCCCAAAATTGATTGAAGAATCCATCCAAGTTTGAAAAGCACCCATTGCATAGCTCCAAGGTAGTAACATACAGAGATGCACAGACTGAAGAAAAATATTGTTGGCAACACAGCAAATGCGAAAATTTGTTTGTCCCAAACTAATTCATTTCCAAATACAAAGGCTGCACCATCCTTTCCAAAACTTAAAAAATCAGAGACTTTATTGCCAAAGCACTGGAAAATCCCTCTTCCAACTGGCCATCGAATGAACATGATTCCTAACAAGAACTGGAATACACCACCACAGATCACTGGTCTCCAAATTATTCTTTTGTGGTTTTCTACATTTAAAAATTGTATGTTAACGAGTTCTATTACTTCGTATGTTAAAGTGATTATTACCTGACATGAAGAATCCTATCAAGCTAAATGCAGCTATTCCAATTAAAGCGCGTAGTCGAGAAAAGTCCGAATATGTTTCATAAATAATATATCCGAAGAAAGCAGCTGATAATACGATGAAAATTGCTACTTTTGCTGTGCTGAACATCAAATTTATTAATTATGAATGATTAATGCCTGATCATGTTACTTACAGACTCTGTAGAAGACTACTGATTAGATCTTGCATTGGTGTAAATACTATATTTTCAATTTCATCTCCTAAGTAAGGCTTAATTACTTTATAATACAATATTCCTAAGTATGTTGCGCCATAAACCAACAAGAGCAATCCATATGAGGAGCATAATGTAAGGGTGCAATCCCTCGTGCATGTATCTCCTTGAAAATAAAAAAAAATCCTATGAAATGTTGGATTTTCCATTGAGGAATTAAAAGCTGACAAAACGTAAAAACAATCATGAATCATCATGGAATTAATATCTATACGTTAATAGTCAATGATTGATAGATCAAAGGCATGAACGAAATTTTCTTACTGGTTGAGATGTAATGGTATGTAGCATATGAAAAATATGTCACAAAGATCAGATGCAGGATGATAGATGTTAAAAATTTATATTTTTTCCTTTTCGTGTCTGTTTCATGCTGCTCGTCATTCTCGAGATTCATCGGTGTTAAGTCAATATTTTCTCCATTGCTTTTTTGTTGGTAATTTTGACTGTCATCCTACATATATGGAAAATGTCCAAAAATTCACTAATTAAGATGCAATCAATAATAAATCTAATAACAAGCCAATAAAATAAGCAAAGACTTCATATAAACAAGTGAAAGCATCATAATTGCAAATGACTCACAAGTTTGAAAAACCAGTATTAAACACATGTGCATGTACCGGTTATAAATTGTTAATCTTTGCGTCAACATGTTGTTGTATATCAAAGATTATACAAGAAGTATGCTTCAAGTATAGAATAAACGCCTTTATGAATTTATTGCTCTTATATCCAAACTACTTTACTGAATTTTTTGTTGTCCGAGGTTAATGAATGAAAAAGTGCATGTGATGTTTATATTGAAACGTGATAAGGCTTTCACTCGAAAGTACTTGCAAAATTCTATCCATAAAAAATATATTGAAGCTTATGAACTTAAACGTGCTTGAAGGTTTCTATGACAATTCACTTAACTATGAATTCTTAAAACTTGTTTTGTACCTTATTCAAATTTTCTGATGACTCAAAGGCAATGTTATGTACGCCACTCATCTTCAAAGAATAAATTTTAATTCCACTAGTCTTAACACAATAATAATCCTAACACGTTGATTTCATTTTTTTGCTAAACAACATCAACACCACATCATCGAGTATGTAAAATTTTTTGGTTCTGTGAACTTGAAAAAATTATTTCGGTAGGTTATTAACAGTTTAATAATGTGTCGATCACTCTTGGTTTGGCACAACTAATTCCAATTTAAAATGCCAAATATTGCCGCACACGTCTTAACGCTTCAGCGTTAGATTTACTTGTGAGAGCTAGTCTCTCAAAAATAAAACAAATTATTCAACGTTTTTTACACAACACCTCTTGCTGGTGCATATTGACACAATGATATACGCTCATTAAGTTTTCAAACAGAGTGAAGCTTTTCAATAGAAAAGCTTTGACTGACATGCAAACTTTAGTTATTTTTGTTATCAAATAATTATTGTTTACCAAGTTTTATAATCTTTGATGTTTTTACTCACTAGTTCAAGCATCTTCTTATAAAGGCTGGAAATATTTTTAATTAAAATCTTTAATTTTTATGATTAGAGAGCTCTTTTAACAAACAAAAAAGCTTTTAATTATCATCCTTAAAGTTTACAGTACAAAGTTTTTAAAAATTAATTAATTTCCTTCAATCATTTCATCAGTCATTAATAATCCCGCAATGCTTGCAGTACAAAGTGTCACGAAACATGCAGCGACGAAAGCTCTTAAAGCTACTTTTGTGATTGAGGGTCTTCTCTCAGGTGCTAAAGCTGACAGTCCACCAATCATAATACCAATTGACGAGGGATTAGCAAAACTGCAAATTGCAAAAGTTGCTATAGCTGCTGATCTAGGCTATTAAGAATAAATGGGATTCAAAAGAATTAGTCTTTTAATGAAGCTGCAAAGCTTACCGATATCTCATTCCTCTCAATATAATCCCCTAATACTCTAAAAGCTACAAACTCGTTTATAATAGTTTTCGTTCCTATAACATTTCCTACAGCTTCACAGTCTTTCCAATCAACTCCAATGAGCCAACTGAGTGGCATGAAGACTTTTCCTAAAATAAATTGAAGATCTACGTTTTCAAAGCCCATCAATCCAGTAATCCATAGTAATATTCCATCAGCAAAAGCGACGACGGCAACAAATGCAACTAAGTTTGCAATAATGTTTAAAATCAGAGGAATAGCTTGACTTGCACCATTCGATGCGGCATCGAGCACTGAAGTGTCAGTTCTAAATATATTTTGATATTAATTATTTAATCAAAGTTTTGTGAAAAGAAACTTACGATTTTTCCAATTGGATGTTACCTGAAGATGTTTTACTTTCTTCTGTTTCTGGCCAAACTAGTTTAGCCATGAAAAGAGAAGCTGGTGCAGCCATTACTGATGCAGTAATTAAATGACTTGGTTCTGCACCAAATGACATATATGCAGCTAAAACAGAACCGGATACTGTTGAAAAACCAGAAGTAATGATTGCGTGTATTTCTGAATGTGTCAAATGTTTGATGTATGGTCTGATGATCAACGGACTTTCACTTTGACCCAAGAAAATGTTTCCAGCTGCATTCACACTTTCGCATACAGTTGTTCCCATTATTGATTGTAGAATCCATCCAAGTTTGAACAAGAACCATTGCATTGCTCCAAGGTAATAAAGAACTGATACCCACAGCGAGAAGAAGTAAATGATGGAGAGGATTGCGAATGCAAACACTCCTAGTTCGAACACTATGTGATCACCATAAACAAAAGCAGCACCTGCTTTTCCGAAATCTAAGAAGTCAGACACTTTCTCACCAAAACATTGGAAAATGTTCCTTCCTACAGGCCAGCGAATGAAAAGCACTCCAAGAATAAATTGAAAGAGAGCTCCACAAATGACTGGTCGCCAATTTATATTTCTTGGGCTTGCTGAAAATTTAATTTCACTCATAAATTCCAATAATTAAGTATCATATTGAAATTTACCTGAAATAGCGAATCCAATGCAAACAAAGAGTGCAATTCCTCCGAGAGCTCTAAGACGTGCGAAATCTTCATAAGTTTCATACAGAATGTATGCAAGAAAGCCCAGTAATAGAACGACTGTCAAAATGATTTTTGAAATCCTATAAATTAAATTCAATTAATTAGAGTTGAAAACCTCAACTTCTTATAATCCATGCTTACAAAGTTTTGAACAGACTTTTAATTCCTCTGCTGATTGGACTGAATATTGAATTGACAATGAATTTTCCCATGTACGGTTTAAGGATTTTAAAGTAGAACAGACATACATAAAGTGTTCCAAACACAAAAAGAAGCATGCCATAAGATGAGCAGAATGTTAAAGTACAATCTTGAGTGCACGTGTCTCCTACAAAAATGATTAATTATATATTTAATTTAATGACTGAAATAATTGTCTTACTGGTGGAAATGTAGTAATATGTGACGTAAGAAATGTAAGCAATGATGATTCCATGTGTAAGCACGAGAATCAAAATGCTACGTATAAACTCGCCACGTGTCCGTGCGTTTGTATCTACTGTGTTGTTTACATCTTCGTCATTCACATTGGAATCAATTGGAGGTAAAACTATGTCATCTTTTCTTCTACGATGTAGTCCATCCTACAAAGCAAATATTTTATTTTTTATCAGCACTTTTATTTCTATTAAGTCATTAAACTGTTTCTTTCGTAATGATGAATTACAAAAAAATGCTCCAAGTAACAATTAAACACACCAAATCACGTTTAAGTTGCGATAAACATTTTTTAAAATCAACAATTCGTAGTGACTTGACGAAATTTAAGGATTATCTTCTTCTGTAACATGATTGTGCGTTATTGATTACTAATGATTTGATAAAGTTGAACTCTTATTAATGAACTTTGATTTCGAGAATCCATAACAATTATTCATAATTTTTTGAATGGACTATTTCTAGTAAATAAACAGTGAAATTGAAATTCAGTTATGAATTAAAATCTTATCAATTAGAATGAACTTGAATTTTTTATTAATTTATGGCGCCGATAAGATAAATTGCAAATCCGACAAAAATTGATTTTTATAAATTTCTTTGTAATTTATTTTTATAAATTTATCCACAATTTCATTCAACTTAGACAATGTTATTTAAAGGTTGCAATCTATCAAATCTATCCATAGGTTATAAATCAACTCGGTTGAATTTAATCTTAAACAATGAAAAAACTGACTTATCCGATAAATTCGATAGCTACTTCAACTTTAGAATGGCCTTGTAACTTCTGATAAATGCGTTTCCTATTTTCCCAATTTTAAGTCAAAGCTATCCTTATCGTGAGAAACAGTAATCGACGTATACTTACTTCATTTAAATTTTCTGTACTTAAATAATTATTATTATCTACGCCGCTCATATTTTAATACTGCTAAAGCTAAGCAAGTAGCTTTTTTAAATTTAAACACACTAAAAAATTGTTGCACGTTTTAAGCGATTAGGTTTATCCTTTAAGCTATGTTCTTGTTGAGTTTTCCAACTATTGTGCCATGAAAAACTTGATTGAATTATTTTTTATAGCAATTTTTAATAAATGCGACTTCTCTATACAAGTCAAATCTTTTAAATGATACGTGAATTGTTATCGTGGAACTTAAAATAAAATGTATTATTGTTATTGTTATCAAATATCAAGTTAATACATAGAAATGTCGTTTTAAAAGCTTTAATAAAGCTTTCGTGAGCTTTTATCTTTTTTTGAATCTCGCGACTTACTCAAGCTTGACGCAGATGATTAAAACTAGTAACTCATTGTGTATTATTATTAACTGTTGGTTGAGATTAGGAACATGAGCACTTAAGGGAATGTAGAGTTCACTGTATTTCTTCTTAGATACTTAATATTGATGGCTGATAATCTTTCAAAAAGTACCTAAGAAATATTTCAGTAATCATGAGTAATTGAATTTTAGTGATAACATTTAAGGCACAGCGTGTGTATGGTTTTACGCATAAACTTTTTAATTGAAATCAATCTACGGATTAATGGTTCTAAATCATTGTCGAAATTTGATAAGGGGTTGTTCTTCTATTATCACATTCATCATCTTTAACAAAATATCACAATTTAAATTACTTACAGCATAATCAAAGAGGATCACTGTCAACATTAAAATTTCTAAGTAGCTATTAATGACTCATTTTCTGATATTTAATTAAAAATAATTTATTGGCAAACGACCCAATCTGGTATGATGTGCATATTTTCATTAATATTCTGTCTATGCTTTTAAAATTACTTTCAATGTCTAAATATTCATAATTGAATAATCATCATATTCTACTGAACTGATTACTATGGAAGTAGCAAAATTAAATGTCATTTTCAAATGACTTTATGACACGACGTTAACGAAATCGTTTTTCAATTTAAATAGTCAAATAAACTGTATTACCGATACTTAAGTATAATTGATGAAAATGTGTAATTTGTAGCTGATTAAATCATGTAAATATTTATTTTCTAGACTAATGTCAATTATTTTTCAAATAGCTTAGTGTACAGCATTATTTTAATAATTTCACCAATCAATCAAAGTCTTAACAAGAGAAAATGAAATAAGCAACTTAACCTACCTCAACATGACCTCCACATCTTTAAAAATAATAAAAAAGTGTTCTTTGTGTATGTACTAAGAAGTTCAACAATCTTAATTTAATCGAATCATAAAGTTTTCGTTGATTGAATTTTAAATAAATAATGAAGAGATTGACACGTGATTTTATTATTAAATTCTTTGTACTTTATAAAGATTATCTTTTTACAAGGATATTAATTATTTTTTATGCTTCTCACTTGCAATGAGTAATTGAACTAAAACTTGAGAGACTAGTGTATCGGGTAGAAACCCAATGAGGATATATTCACACCGTACCATCAAAAGTCTTATGAATAGACCAAGATTTGCTCAGCATACGTTTGAAGAATGGGCGTGAAGTACGGCCGAGACCCATATCGACACAGTTCAAAAGATATACCTAATTTATGTCATAATTATGTCAGCTACAAAAACACTTAGTTTGAATTTTGTCAGCCTGGGGAACACTATGAACCAGTATAGCTGATTTTGGTCCAAATCTCGGCCATACTTCACACTTATTTGAACCACATTTTCTCGTAAATGTTAAAATATTATTAAAAAGTAATTAATCCTGAATTATATTGCTATTTTGTCAAGTGTTTTAAGATAAATAATTTGTTTTTTGGTTTCCACAGTGAAGAGTATGAACAAAATTCAGATGGGGTAGTCGAAATTTTAGATTTCGTTTTTTTTAAGCTATGCATTACAAAAAGTAATATTGGTATGTGATTTATGTCAAAACTATGTCAATTCAAATAAAACATCCAAAAAATTTTTTTGACCAAAGTACACGATAGAAAATTAATTTTCAATTTTGGACTAGGGGCGACCCTAGTCAAAATCAATTTTCTCACTTTTTTCTTCGAGGGTTTTTCCAAATAGATTGAAACTTTGCATAAATATTCTAGTGCTTAAAACAAATACAAATAAAACATCCCAAAATTTTTTGGACTAGGGGCGACCCTAGTCAAAATCAATTTTGTCACTTTTTTCTTCGAGGGTTTATCCAAATGGATTGAAACTTTGCATAAATATTCTAGTGCTTAAAACAAATAAAAATAAAACATCCTAAATTTTTTGAGCAAAGAACCAAGTAGGAAATACATTTTCAATTTTGGACTAGGGGCGACCCTAGTCAAAATCAATTTTCTCACTTTTTTCTTCGAGGGTTTATCCAAATGGATTGAAACTTTGCATAAATATTCTAGTGCTTAAAACAAATAAAAATAAAACATCCTAAAATTTTTTGAGCAAAGAACCAAGTAGGAAATACATTTTCAATTTTGGACTAGGGGCGACCCTAGTCAAAATCAATTTTGTCACTTTTTTCTTCGAGGGTTTTTCCAAATAGATTGAAACTTTGCATAAATATTCTGGTGCTTAAAACAAATACAAATAAAACATCCTAAAATTTTTTGAGCAAAGAACCAAGTAGGAAATACATTTTCAATTTTGGACTAGGGGCGACCCTAGTCAAAATCAATTTTGTCACTTTTTTCTTCGAGGGTTTTTCCAAATAGATTGAAACTTTGCATAAATATTCTAGTGCTTAAAACAAATACAAATAAAACATCCCAAAATTTTTTGGACTAGGGGCGACCCTAGTCAAAATCAATTTTCTCACTTTTTTCTTCGAGGGTTTATCCAAATGGATTGAAACTTTGCATAAATATTCTAGTGCTTAAAACAAATAAAAATAAAACATCCTAAATTTTTTGAGCAAAGAACCAAGTAGGAAATACATTTTCAATTTTGGACTAGGGGCGACCCTAGTCAAAATCAATTTTGTCACTTTTTTCTTCGAGGGTTTATCCAAATGGATTGAAACTTTGCATAAATATTTTAGTGCTTAAAACAAATACAAATAAAACATCCTAAAATTTTTTGAGCAAAGAACCAAGTAGGAAATACATTTTCAATTTTGGACTAGGGGCGACCCTAGTCAAAATCAATTTTGTCACTTTTTTCTTCGAGGGTTTATCCAAATGGATTGAAACTTTGCATAAATATTCTAGTGCTTAGAACAAATACAAAGAAAACATCCTCAAATTTTTTTAGCAAAGAACCAAGTAGGAAATACATTTTCAATTATGAACTTGGGACAGGTCTAGTCAAAATCTAGTTTTTCACTTTTTTTTTTTCGAGGATAAATCCAAATACAGTAAAACTTTGTATGCGCATTCTAATCCTCAGGTCACACATTTCTGAATTAATAAAAATCATTTTTTTGGACAAAATTTTAAGTCACGTTGTTTTTGAATGTAGAACGAAATTTATAAAATTTGGGTCTGACGACATATAGAATACATTTCTTGCTTTAGATATTTAAAACTGTTTTGTATAAATATTAGTATACTTATAAAAAGTTTCACTGTAATTGGACAAACCTTCGAACAAAAAAAGTGAAAAACTAGATTTTGACTAGACCTGTCCCAAGTTCATAATTGAAAATGTATTTCCTACTTGGTTCTTTGGTCAAAAACATTTTAGGATGTTTTATTTGTATTTGTTTTAAGCACTAGAATATTTATGCAAAGTTTCAATCCATTTGGATAAACCCTCGAAGAAAAAAGTGAGAAAATTGATTTTGACTAGGGTCGCCCCTAGTCCAAAATTGAAAATGTATTTCCTACTTGGTTCTTTGCTCAAAAAATTTTAGGATGTTTTATTTTTATTTGTTTTAAGCACTAGAATATTTATGCAAAGTTTCAATCTATTTGGATAAACCCTCGAAGAAAAAAGTGAGAAAATTGATTTTGACTAGGGTCACCCCTAGTTCAGAATTGAAAATGTATGTTCCTACTTGGTTCTTTGGTCAAAAACATTTTAGGATGTTTTATTTGTATTTGTTTTAAGCACTAGAATATTTATGCAAAGTTTCAATCCATTTGGATAAACCCTCGAAGAAAAAAGTGAGAAAATTGATTTTGACTAGGGTCGCCCCTAGTCCAAAATTGAAAATGTATTTCCTACTTGGTTCTTTGCTCAAAAAAATTTTGGGATGTTTTATTTGTATTTGTTTTAAGCACTAGAATATTTATGCAAAGTTTCAATCCATTTGGATAAACCCTCGAAGAAAAAAGTGAGAAAATTGATTTTGACTAGGGTCGCCCCTAGTCCAAAATTGAAAATGTATTTCCTACTTGGTTCTTTGCTCAAAAAATTTTAGGATGTTTTATTTTTATTTGTTTTAAGCACTAGAATATTTATGCAAAGTTTCAATCCATTTGGATAAACCCTCGAAGAAAAAAGTGAGAAAATTGATTTTGACTAGGGTCACCCCTAGTTCAGAATTGAAAATGTATTTCCTACTTGGTTTTTTGCTCAAAAAAATTTTAAGATGTTTTATTTGTAATAGTTTTAAGCACTTGAATATTTATGCAAAGTTTCAATCTATTTGGATAAACCCTCGAAGAAAAAGTGACAAAATTGATTTTGACTAGGGTCGCCCCTAGTTCAAAATTGAAAATGTATTTTCTACTTGGTTCTTTGCTCAAAAAATTTTTAGGATGTTTTATTTGTATCTGTTTTAAGCACTAGAATATTTATGCATAGTTTCAATCCATTTGTATAAACCCTCGAAGAAAAAAAGTGTAAAAATAGATTTTGACTAGACCTGTCCTAAGTTCATAATTGAAAATGTATTTCCTACTTGATTCTTTGCTCAAAAAAATTTCTTTCAAAAAACTGATTTTTCAATCTGTACAAAACCAATAGATTCACACGTGAAAACGGTGTGAATATAAAAATTGACAAGTTATAAGAGAACTATCACTAGTCTCTCATGTTAATGAATAGTTTAGTGCGTGAATTTCAATATCAGTTGATGTCAGATCGACTTACTTTGTTTGTCTTTGTTGAATAACCCCGACATGTAACGATCATTATGGACTTTTGTAGTGCTTTAAGTGCTTTTTTTCCATCCGTCTAGGTTCCCTTTTTTATCCTCCTATCGATCTACTAGAATTTGAATTTTCTGGATATTAAGTTACACAGAATTTAAAGTTGATAACAAAGCTTTAAAGCTTTCACTGTTTTGGTCTAATAATAATTGAGTGTACTAAGGATTTTTATCAGCATTGAATTAATTTCTTTTAGAACAACGTGTTGTAAAAGCGATAGTACCGCATTTATTGAAAGGTTTTTTTTCTCATCATAAATTATTATTAATTGACAATAAAATCTTATCATTAAGAAACCTTTTATGCTTGGTATGGTCAATAAAATTGGTGATCTATTTTAAGAGGTCTAATCTAAAATTAAAGCTGTAAAGATTTGATAGGATTGATAATTGGAAGCTACACTTGGAAGAGAAAGAAACAATTAATTAAGCATTAACAGCTTGATTGAGTATTGTAGATCATAATAGTCTGTAGTATACCAATATAGATAAACGGAAAAGTTGTAAAGTGTAATTAATATAAAGTTTTTATACATAACAAGAGTTTGACAAGGTTGATTCGTCATGACAGATAACGACAATGACAGTAGAATTTTTTTATACATATTTTCAATTACATATTTAGTCATAAAATTGCTCATAAAAAGCTAAACATTCGTCGCAAAAATCGGTAGATTATCAAAACAGTGAAGTAAAGATTAAAATTAATTAGAGGTTGTCGCATTTATTTCGTTATTCATGCGCAAATTAAATACTCATAATGATCATACTGTCTACGTATAATATCGAATTATGATATTGAGAATATGCGCACTGGAACTGTGAACTAATAACAAAAGAGCTTTATGCGCGATGAGAAATGAATAGGTCATAATAAAAAATTCCATAGCACATGAGTCAACTGATTTGTTCACTTGCTTTTGGCACACGTCGTTGTCATCAATCAAAAATATAGTCTGTATGTGCGTTTAACCATTAAAAAATTCATCAATCAACAGCCATTAGAAAGTGTTTTATATGTATATTATTTATACAACAGACAATATTATTCAATGTAGATTATGATGTGGTCGTTGCAAATTAAAATGTTACCATTTTATCTACTTACTTAATTCTCATTCATAGAGTCATGGTATACACGGCGGTACGTTCAATAGCAGTGAAAATATCATTTTTGTGTACATATATAAAATAATAGTAATCATAATTTGTCAAAAAGAGTAGAGACCTGTAAATCTACCCTTGTACTAATTCATAAATAATTTATTAACCTTTTTTATATCAATTTTCGATATTGTGCACATATTGTTAAATTCGTCGAACTGAAATTGATTTAAAGAGTTTATAAAAAGGAATTTTGTGTACGCATTTGCAATAATAAAATAAACTTTGTGAAGTGAATGAGTAAAATGAACGAACGATCAGCAGGCAGGCGTTGAAGGTATGTGCCTTAATTCATAAATGTTTCAACAACAAACGCATGCAACACGATTTAAAGCGAAGGCTTTTCTTTGTAAATTTTTCATGATTTTATTCTATAGTTAAATTTGTATTTTTATAAATCTAATTTGGTCGTTTAGTTAAACTTTTTCTCATTTAAAATTAAACTTAGTACATAACTTAAGAAGAACATTGTAAGATACTAGGAAATTGGAATGTTTATAAAATGTAGCTGGAAGGTGAATAACTAGCACATTCTAAGCATCACCTTCATCATTTTCCTTAAGCGTAACTTAATTAAAGTTTCTAAATATAATTCGACTGGCAAAGCATTTTGTGATATTATCTTTTCCTTCTAATTCTTACTTTATGCTCAAAATCTTATCAAATAATTAACGAACTTTAAAAATTTAAAATAAATGTATCATCTAAATTGCACTAATATTTTCCAAAAGCATAATACTTTCCATTTTTTATACAAAACAATTGTTAACAAAAAATACTGTTGAATAAAAACATTTTTAAAGTCTAGATGTGCAGAATTTATAATGAATGCTATCAAATTTCCAAAGCTATTTTGAATTTATCGATCTTCAACGTTTTGAAGAAATTTCCCCATACTTAATCTGGATTGTGATCAATCATGACTTCACAGACTGTGCCTTTTTCCTTCATTTCTTTTCACTCACTATCCCAATCATGCAAATGAAACCAAAAGAAGAAAAAAAGACAAATTTCATCCAATCATGATCATATCATTGTCGTATCCTAGAGCACTCTCTGTTTTTAAAATTGTACACAAATCAATTGTATCGTCAGCTGCCAAACCCGGTGATAGATATTGTGATGACGAGAAAAACATTTGATCCATATAACTGCTTAAATCATTCGAAAAATGCGATGGAGAATGCGAGGCCGACATCATCATGGGGTCTTTTAGACTCAAGGCACTTGTTCGTTCATTATTGTTAGTGTTGTTGCTGCTACTATTGTTACTTGTACTAATGTTACTTATGCTGCTATTGAGCTTAGTTCTCTTATTTTTATATCGCTGCTTTTCTTTGCTCAAATCGAAGTCATCATCATCATCATCATCAGTCGTTTGACTTAGTTCGAATGGCATATCCTTAAATGGCTCTTCATGATAATTTTTGGATAATCGCGTTCTTTTACTACTCGATGTTGAATCTGTTGATATCGATGACGGTGATGATGGAATGGAATTTGAATGAGATGACGATGGTGGGGTGTCAAATAATGGAAAGGAAGACAGTAATGGATCATTAAACTTCAGTTCTGTATCACATTCTATTAAATCTTCAAGTTCTGCTAGATTAATGACTTTTTTGGCATCCTCATCTTCTGCATCAATAATTTCCAATGTTGATGTATGCTATAAGGAAGAATATAAATAAATCAAGAGATAAGATTTGTCCTTTTGATTATGTCTCTTCCTAATATTTTGACAAACTAATCAGCTCTTAAGCTTTATTAGTAAACCTTATTTTATCAAAATATTATTTTGTTCTTATCACAAGTGTCAAGAAATAAAGATAATGAAATATACCTCAATCGGATTCAGCTGATTTGTTTCGTGAACCACTTCAGTAGATTCTTCGCCATTGAGATCAAATTCCTTGATAGTGATACCACTCTTTCGTGCTAAGGCCTCCAACTCCTATATACCAAGTAAAATAATAGAAAAATCGGTTTAGATTAAATACGGAAAATTACAAGTGTATAGCAGCTTTCGATAAGATTACAATGATATCAGACTTTGAAATAAGTAAAGAAATAAATAAATTAGATTAGTACCAACCCGAATTCTCGTTATCAGTCGCCGATTCAAGCTATCCAAATCTTTTTGCTTCTGTTCATTTCGTTTTAGTCTATTGACTTCATGCTTGAGACATCTGATGTAGTCGACAGATGATTTTAATATTGTACCTTTGTTTGGCTGTCGAATGTGCAAGTCTAGTATAATATCAAAAAGAAATTCATTTGTTTTTGGCAGTAATGTTCCAAGCTCCTTTATTCTATCATTTATATTGAAGCGTCGTCGTCGTTCAACTGAAACAAAAGAAGTGAAAATAAATAAATTAATTTTTCAAAAACATGTCATAAAAATTAGCACTTTTAAGTTAATCTATAGCTGGCAACAGTTTAAATGAATGAATGAAAAATTAAAGTCACATTTTTTAAAACAAATTTTAGTGAGATTGAAGCGACAATGACTAGTATGTGTATGGTAATTTAATTCACAAAAAAAATCTCGTAATTTTCTTCTTTTGTCTTTATTGTTTATTTAAACATTTTTAATAATTAGTCATCATTACTTTTTATATAGACAAACTATTTATATACTCTTGATCTGATAATAAATATTCATTTTTTCGAAATAGATATTAAATAAATTATTATTGTGATAATTTTTTTGTTTGCACAGTAGCTCTAAAAGTTTTTAAAAGTTTGAAGATCTTCTTCTTCAATAAAAATCTTGCATGAACATATATTTGCGTATAAGGAGGGGCTTGGATCAACATTGAACTGTAGTTTCTGGCTACACTCCTGATATGCGTAATATTGAAAAGCAAACTCCCAAAAAAAAGAAACAGAAACATGCTGCTCTTAATAGCAATTTACACATTTGAAGGAAGTAATGACAATGTTTTTCATCCACTTCACACTATACAATGATGTTGATTATTTTGTTTGATGCTTTTTACTCATATTATGAATATAAAATTTGAAAAATATTTACAATTTAATTAATTTATAGAGTGATCGCATTGAAAACAATAAATACTTTAATAGTCGCGCGTCAAACACAAAAGAAGAAAAATGAGAGAAAGAGAAGTTATAAATTATAAACAAATGTATACAATCGAGAGAGAAAGAGCGAGAAAAAGGCTTAAAATGTAGGTAAGTTAATGAAAGTTGTCAGTTTTGCAATTATAATTCAGGCGCTGGCGTCTTGTCATAATCTTATCATGTCATCCACATTCTATCTAGCTTTTCTTTCGTTTGAGTAATTACTTTACACGTTAAGTAAGCAAGTAATGCTTTGCGTAATATTATCATCATTACATTCTTCTTCGTATTCTTCTCTGCTATCTTAAAGCCGAGTCTTAAAGCACGTAAAAAATTATTTTATAATTTTCATAAGAGATATTGAGATAATCAGTCGAAAACTTAATATTTTATTCTATTTTCATTAGGGGAAGTCTTAAAAGATAACAAATTATGCAACCTTAATTTCAAGTAAGCAACAAAATTAATACTAATTAATTTTTTTTGTAATCCAAAGCATGTGAAAACGGTATGAATCTATTATCGTAGGTTTATCAGTAGCGTATCAAAACATGATTTAAAGTGTTTCAGATACAAGTATATATGAAAATAATTTATAGCCTCAAAGATGACACAGTTTAAAGTTTGGTTGGCACATTTTTACGTCTTTACAATACAAACATGCATGTTACAAAAAGGTCTTATTTAGTGAGAGTAATCTGTGAATGAGAAAATTTTGTATGAATGGAAATCCCCTGAATCGGTTTTTGTTGCTGTAGTATTTACACAACTTCAGATTCTAAATAAGCAATTAAGATGCCATAACAAAGATTAACAAACAAACTTCTCTCTTTTTTATCTTCTCTCAAATTGATCTTACATTGCACAATTGATGATTAATGATTTATCAATTTAGATCTTTTTTGAGTTCCTCTACAATGCAATTAACTTTTTCTATTGATTGATTAGTGCTTGAATTTAAAAAAACTCAAGTCAGACTAGAATTTTTTACGAGGATTAAGTGCTAAAAATTACGCTTTTGACATTTGTTTCTACAATGACATTCCACACATAGTCATCAAATAAATGTTTGTTGTTTTTGAACGAATTCTTAGAATTCGTGTCTCCAAAATAAACCGCATTTGTCGATATTTCTTAATAAAATTTAAGGCAATTAAGTCAATCCTCGCGGTTAGGAATTTCAAGGGGATCATGACATGTTTTCGTAACGTGTTCAAAATTTCCCATGCATTACTCAAAAGATTGCTCAGAAATTAATTTCAGTGATCATTCCCGATTATTCACAAATCCCGAACAGTATGCAATTAACCATCAAAATCAATTCATTTTGTCACCTGAAAGTTCTATATAATTAATTTATCAATTGCCAGTAAATATTGAAAATCATTCAGACAATAATAATTACTGGATGATATTTATGGATGTCAGATAACCCATGCGTTAATAATCCTTTCACTTTTTCATGACATTTATATAAATTTTCTGCAAACTCACTCCTCTGCTTCATTTAAATTCTTTTCGTGCATTATTAAAATAAATTTATAACATTCTTATCAAGCACGCTTCGTTCTGCGTTAAAATACGTTAATGAGCATTAAAAGAGATAAATTTATCTTGATAAGGTGTAACTATATGAACTATATGAACTTGTTCTCTTATCAAGTATATCTCAAATTCATGCGACGGAATATTTTGAGATATTATAACGATAATAAAATGCACTTTACGACACAATAAGACTATTGAATTGAATATTCATGTAAATATAAACAAGTGGGACACATATATATGCATGTTGACTCATAAATATGCGACGAGATGATGAGAAGAAGAAATGAATTTATGAAATTTAATAAACTTGGGGGTCCGTGGTTTGAATAATTTTGAGATTTTTCTCATCCAGGAAAATTCAGCCCCCTTAAACAAAGTTTAATTAAGCTGGAAAATTCAGCCCTAAAACAAAAATTAATTAAGCTGGAGTTTTTTCGAGAAAAATTTTTTTTCAAACATTGGACCTCATGAGTATGTAAAGAAGCGATGCGTTTGTGTTCTCCGATAATTCCACATTTCTTCTCTTTGCATATACACATATTTTTTCGCGCTTGCTATTGTACAGTTACTCAATACTCACTCATATTATGATTATCCTTCTTCTGTCTGTCTCTTACTTCGGCCATTGAGAGTTCTTCAGGTTCTTGTTTAATGAGAATACTATCGTCTGCTAGAAATTTCTCTAACTTTAAAGCTTCGTCTAATGATCCTGAGTCCAAGTTTAGAATCTCATCGATGAAATCTTTTGACTGATTATTTGTTTTCAGATATTAATCACGTTCATAGCAATTTGAAGATGTAGGGTTGAGCGTTGAATGGAGAATTCACAAGAAATGCAAGTAACAATAATAAATTTTTATTATTATTATACAATCGCACTTGAAAATTTAAATGCTTAATTTTTTACTGCTACTCAATGGTAAATTACCTTATTTTGTCGTCTACGAGCATTTAAATTATAGACAGGCATATTTTATAAAACTTCTATGTTAAAAGTAATGCTTTGATATAGCAAAAGACCTATCACTATATGCAGCTCTTTATGGTAATTACAGTTTTTGCGTTAATTTGCGATTAAAAACTACAACTAATTGACTTTGTAGAAAAATAAAATTTTAAAAAAAATTTTGAAAAGTTCTATTAAGGCGGAATTATCAATTTCCTTTTATCAGCTACTATTGCCATACATTATTTATGTGTTCTATCTCACTCACTCTTGAACATTTTTTCTATCATTCACAAAAATTACTTTTGCAATAATTGTTATTATTTTATCATAAAGAACTTTTTTTTCTATATAGTTATTCACATGTATCTCACGGTATTATTTTTTTTATAATTTCCAACTATTCACGTTTATATATTTTTTTTTTATTTTTTGCTGTCGGAACTAAAATCACTTTTTAAAAATATTTTTTGTGATGAGTTTAATCAGAATTTTTTATTTTTTTTATTTTTTAATAATTGATTGTTGTAAGCATTTCATTTCATTGTTCTCTTACTCTGATAGCTATCAACATTAATCGTAGCATTTTTAATGAGTCACTGATAATTAGTCAATGCACTCGCAGTCTCTGTCTGAGTGAAATGAAATGTCTGATTTACTTTCAATTTATTCAATCAATTTTTTTTTATTCACTTTGCTTTGTTTTTGAATTTCTTACTTTTTGGGTGTCTGTAGCTTTGAGTTTTGAATTATTATTTTTTTAAAAAACTTATTAATTTTTTTGCGTGCTTCTGTGATTTTGTTGTGATCCGATCACATCGACGATTGAAAGTGAACTGAATGTTGTGAAAATTTAAAAATTGTATTTTAATTTTTTTCGGATAATTACTCTACTCATTGCTATATACATGACTGAAAGAGTAGTAAACAAGTAAGTTAGTAGTGATTTGTGAGTATTTGAGAGTCGAGAGATAATTTTTTCACATTCCTACATATCTCCTCCACGTTTATGTGTTTTAGTGTTGTTATCACAATTCATATGTATTGTTGATATACTCAACAGACTGATGAGAACACATTGATGGATGTAAAGAAGAACTTCTATGACAAGCATGAAGTTAATGGTGAGATATACATATAAATTTTTGTTTTGTTCGAAACATTGATACATAATCACTGATAATTCTTAATGGCCAATATGTAATAATTCTATTGGTACCCATATAAAAATAGATAGACTAAAAATCTATTTCTCCTATCAAACATTTTTTCTCCTCTTCTACAATTGCTTGATTTTTTTTTTTCAATTTGTTCTACAACATTTTTTTTATCACAAATTTTATATCAGACAGTTGAACAAAAATTATTATGAAATCGTTTTAACAACAACGAAAGTACAAAAAATGTGTTATTGATGACTTCTGTTTAACTATTGGACTTTTTGATTAGTTTGATGCTACAACACAATTTATGGTACTCAAAATATTAGAATGGACTTTATTGGACATTACCAGTTAAGTATATTGAGAGCTAATTTGAAAGTCTAATGACCGAGAAAAAAAAGCATAGTTTCATAGTCCATAGCTATAACATCATGATTCTATGTATGTAATCATTTAAGTCTAATACTCTTAACGTTCATTGATAGTATTTAAATGCAGGGGATTTCCGAAAATGAATGGCAAACAAAAAATGTATTCCTGATGCCAAATGCCATTGCTTCATTGACACATAATTTGTAAATTTGTCTGGCTCGAGGCCCCTATCACTTTTAATGTTTTTTCTATCTGATTCTGATCTGTTTTTGCTGCTGGTTCTGTAAAAAACTACCACTATATCATTTATAACATTACAAATGTCCACAGTGGGAAATGAAATCGTTTGATAATGACATTGAATATATTGTTGTACATGATTTAGATACAATCAGGTCTATATTATTATTATTATATGTAGATGAGACATGAAGAAGAGATTTCACTTATGTGTGTTGAACTATCAGGAAAAATAAGTTTGTGACGTCGTCAACATTTTATTAAAGTGTTATTTTCTCACATTTTCTTCATTCGAGAAGAATAGTCACCAACTATGAGTTTTATCTCTTGTTGACACATTCAATTAGTATAATTTCAAATTAGACTACAAAATTCAAAATGTACAAATAAATATGTATTTTTTACATTTGCAATAATGAAATTAAGCTGGTTTATACTTGAATCACCTAGCCAGTACCGATAAAGATTTGAAATTTATGCATAGAAATATTTAAAAATTAATATAGTGAGAAAATTAAGTAATTAATGTAAAATATTAATTGTAATGTTGTGGTTGCGTAATTAATATTAACGATTTTCTTGCAATTTTTTTGATGACCTTCACCCAAGTGAGATTTAAAGGTAGCAGTAATAATACTTTCATAAATATCCATTAGAATCATATTGTTTTGATAATTTAATAATGTTTATATGCATACAACGGTGCATTTAGCATGTGCAAAAAAAGAGATTGTCTAAGGTACAGTGTGACAGAATCTCTCACATTTGTATGTAACATACATTAATGGAAATTGTGCCTTCTAATCGGTACTTTTCAAGGATGATCAAACAAAAAAAAAAATAAATAATAAAAATGAGCGACAGCAATGAGCTATTACAACGAGCGGTAGTTGATAGATCAGTAGCAAAGTTTAACATCTATCTAAAGTCTAGTGTCTTTGGATTATTTGAGAATAAACACATGTAGGAAAGGTGTATGGAAACGCTTGAATGAAAAATTACACTTGATACTGCTGAAAGCTAATTTGAAACTTTTTTTCCTTCATTATTTGTTTTTTTCTGGAGGGTTCATCATATATGACGTCTACTAGTATAAAAGATTCGCGAGCCTCAAAACATCTCACTGCATGAAAGTCTTACAGAAGAAGGGAACCCATAAATATAGGACATCATAAGGGCACAGACCCTAAATAAATGTTGATGATTTTCTCTCTCAACACATTTCGTCTTCTATTGTATTCAAAAAATATTTTTACGGACCGGATTTTCTCAGTTTCCTCTGGAATGAAATACAATTTTGTGCTTTTTGTTTGCAATTTTTTTATAAATGATTTTTCCGCTGCATTTTCAACCTCACGAAAATGTCAAATTAAGTTGCAATTTTCATTGCATTAAGAATGTTGAGAACTATTGTCATTGTAATGTTCGTGTGATTGAAAAATAAATATGTGGACATACTAAGTACTTGCATATATAAAATTTCCCGACTACATAACAGAAATACGATCATTATCAGAATGCATTACAACATTTCATTAGGTAGTGATTGCACTTTATTTTCGCTGGAATTTGACTCCATTGCACTTTCTCAAAGTATGTTAAATTTGCTATTCTGTTAAGAATCCATTAGAATCTAACATTGAATTTATTAAGCTAGTTATTAAGCTAGTTATGCTTCTATTTTCAATCTTAGTTGATTAAAAGATTTAATTGATTTTGTGTAGGGGTTGTTAATGAATGATGTCCATCATAAAGAATCGTCTGGAAAATTTTGATTCTTTTTTCGAATAAATAGATGGAAATTGTAACGGGGTAGTTCAAAATTTTTATCTTCTTACACGTCATTTGCAGATAGCCCCCCAAAACTTATTTATTTAAAATAGTTTAATTCAATACCTAATCATATTTTAAATGAATAATAATGTTCAATAACTTATTACTTTATGGTGTAATACATTTTCAATATTATTGATTAAATAAACAAACAAAACAGCTTATGATGTCATTATGCTTAAAAAGCTTCCATTGCCTAGTCATAAGAATTAAAGAGCACATTGGAAATGAATAATAGTAATGCATTAATAATAATGCAAAAAATGCAATTTTGAATGCATTTTTGCTACGTTCCATACAGAAGAAAGGAAATAATCGTCACACGTGAATCGCCGTCATCATCATCATCATCATTCGTCATATTATAATAAATTCCAAATCTTTACGACTAATTGTTTCCCGTAAAGTGCAATCTCTTCTGTTAAAAACATCAGTTTAGCATTTTTTTCGCACTATAAATATTAAAATCGTTAGATTGTAAAGTGCACAGAAAACAATCTTTATCTTTCTCACATGTCACATCCAATAATGCATAAAACTGACAAACTTATTGCTATTGTTAAAATTTATGGCCATTGTATGATCACATAAAGGAGATATTGCAATTTGACACACATTCAATTAGTTTAATTACTTGACTAATTGAACGATTGATTTAATTTGGATTGCACATTAGCTCGACTTCTTTTAAAAAAGGTAAAGTAAGACAATTAATGTTTGGGCTGTTGTTATTAATCAGTCATGGAAGTTTATTAAATAAATTTCTGAAAATTGAATCACTTAATAATTTTTTTTGAATTTTTTACCAATTTTTGCCAACATTTTTGAGTTTACTTTAGTGATTTGGTGGCTCAGTGGCTTGATATTTTAGTTCATATTTGCTATGGTACAGTAAAATTGAACAGACAGGTAAACAGACTAGTATGATGGTACGAATGCAAAAACCACAAAGCAACGCATTAAGTCAGAAATATAGTTCGATAAGTTCTGTCCAGGTTGAGCTTAACAATGCTTCCATCCTGAATGCACCTCTGGAGTAGAAAATTAAATTTATTGTAAACAATTTAAATGCATTAAAATTGTTGAGTTAAAAATTTCCACAACACACTGGTCAAAACAAAACAATAATAAAATGTGATGAGTAGTGGAGCTTGACGTTGAAAAAAATTTACGGAATATATAAGAGATTACCAAAGTGATAAATAGCTCCGATCAAATACACGTGGAAATAATTTTTTTTTATTCTCAATTTTTTTTTTTGTAAATTCCTTATAATAATAATAAATGATTACAAATACGTACAGTAGTAAAGATATTAATATGAGGGAAAATATCAGCAGCAGGGCTGATGAAACAGTGAAAAATCTATCAAGATTGTGAGAGAGGAAGAATGCAAAAAAAAATATCTCATACAATTCAATCGCAATGTAAGTATCTCACAATCT